CGCAGCGCACTGTTGGCAAAGCCAGCATTCGTACGCTTGGTAGCTACTCAAACTTCATGCATCTTGATGGGTTCCAACACGTGTCTTCACTTGTCTGCTTAGCCCAACGAAGCTTTGTCCACCCCAACCCCCGCACCCCCGCACCCCTGCCAACCCCCCGACGGCCCCACCACTACAAATCCGACTACCGCTATACAAGCTTGGGGTTTGGTGCCAACATAACTCAGCATGCACATTCAAACCCATTCACGAATTGGGCCCAAGCGAATCTGTCTGAGGTCCGTGCGCAGTGGCATCAAGAAAGTTGCGAAGCCTTTGCACGCATCTGGGGTGTTGGGGAGTGCTGGATGCATTACTTCGAGTTTTGCTGAGGTGATCTCAATATCGGGGGAGCCGTTTGCCGGCTGTTGCCGCCGCTGCCACCGCCACTACCACCAGCCGCGCTGCGAGATGTTGTCTGGAGCGCCTCAGTCGCCGGCAAAGCATAGTGCAGATTGCGATTGATATGACGCTGCCAGCGAAAGGGGTGTGTCACTCTGCAAGCCAACTCGACCAGCACTGAGAGTACTAGGGATGAGTAACGGCAATGAGAGCCGCAGTGACACGTCTTCTTCGCGGACATTGTTGATGCAAGAACCATGCGAACAAAGAAGTTCCTGAGCAAGAGGCTCTGCCACAGAATTACGACTGCCCAGCCAGTGTCAGGAAGGGTGCTTGTTTGTACCCATGTCCCAGAAAAGGCTTGGCGGCCCCTGCTCCGCAATGCAAGGCTGAGAGATGCAAGAGGCACATTGGATTCAGGCGTGGGAGGCCGAAGGCCCGAAGGCTTCGTGCCCCCATAGAGCCGCGCTCATTCACCATTCGTGCAACTTCTTCAGGCTGTGAAGCTTCTGAGATGGTGTGACCGGGAATCAATGGAATTCAATGGCTGCTCAAGGCCTGGGTCCCACAGCTGCGCCCCCAACCGGCTGGGAGAACTGAGAGGCGCCGAACACAAAAACAAAAGACCCCGCCGTACAAGTCATTGACTGTTGACTTCTCATCCTCTTTACGGCCTTGGACTACTTTCGACCCGAGAGAACTCTTTCGAGTTTTTTGCTCCAAAGCCTCCCTGAGGCCTTGAAGCCACAAGCCCATCCAAGCCCTTGCAAGCCCAGCAAAAGCCCTGCGGAACTCGGCATTTGACGAGCTGAGTCTACATAATTTCATGTCTATGTGAGCTCTGCCAACTGGCAGGGACAGTCTCGAGAGGAGAGGCACTGTCACTGTGGCACTCTCCGTGTCCAACCTATTTATTATCGACACTACCAGCAGTCATGAAAGGGGTCTTGCCCGAACCCCCCCCCCTGCCCCATCTCCGTGGCACCGCACACTCAGCAAACCTGCTAGGTCCCAAGCTTCCATGTCGACTCCGTTCACCATGCGCAGGGAACCTCCGCCAGCGCCAGCCTTTCATTCGTTGCGAGTTCGAGGAGAAACGACTGATGAGCTCAAGAAGATCAAGGCACACGATGTCGCAAGGAGTACAACATATTGCAACAAGAGTACACGAATATGAAAGAATTTGGATGGCGACCTCGCGGCTGTGTTGCATGAAGTTGAGGAGCTCATATGCTGACCGGGTCTTCCTGAGCATGTCATCATAGGATCAAAGTCATGTCGGTTCTCTGCGATCAGTCAAAGCAACTTGTGCTTATCATCTGGCTTCAATCAATCCTCGCTGCAAGCACACTGCAAGAACATCAACTGAGGCTGCTACAGGCGCAAACAGCCACGGAGATTTAGCTCAGAGAGGCCGCCTCGCAACGCACCACTGAGGTACCTGCAAAGTTCCGACTGCAAAGATCAGGAATGTTCTCTCAGCCACCTGGACATAGAACCACTTGGGTCAGACGTCAGCAGGCCGGCACGGTGTCTTCAGCGTGTGGCACAGGTCAGCCACAGTAGCATCGGTGATTTGCAAGTTGCCTCACATATGCGGCAAACTGCAGCAAGCCCTTAGAGACATCCGACTTGTTGGAACGGAACTGAGGTGCACCTGACAGATCGATCTTTGTCAAGTTGACTAAGCCACCTGAACTGGAAAATGCTCTCTCTGAATCCCCATCGGACATTGAAAGGGCCAAACGTAAGTGCTCGACTGCTCCGTGCTGCTCCCTGCCACGCTGCTCTCTGTATTAGATGCCCTATGGAGAAATGCAAGAACTGCCTGTCCAGCAAAGTGCCGCAGCATGGCACACAGCCCACGCAGCCCCACATCCTTCCATGAGAAGAATACCAACGGACTGCTGTGACATGCCGTCAGTATCTGAGGAGCTGTCAGTGAGACTGTGGCCTCCATCAAAGCAACACACGAATCATTCACGACGAGGGTTTGAGCTTTGCACCAGCGCCTTCCAGTTTGAGGTCAGGCCGTGCACCTGAAGAATTCGTTGGATGTTCTGAGCCGAATGGCGGTGATCCATGCTGCCCCTGCCTCCGGAGCTAAAGGCAATGACTGACCACAAGCCAAGGCGTGCCTCGTTTGCAGAGTTTTAACGCTGTCTGAATGTCCATGGGTTCGCTGGAAGGTCCCTGCCATAACCCCAAGAGTGAAGTCATTCCATTCCTGCCCACTTGTCATCTCTCTTTGGAAAGCTGCCACAGGTGCTGACGTCTCAGCAGCATCTCAGTTTGAAGCGATATTGTCGGAGAGCTCAAGCGGTGCGCCACCTGCGACCAACTGCATCAGACAAGACTTTCCCTTGAAAAAAAACTTGGGAAAGCTTCTTCGGAGCCTTCAGGATGGTCTTTCAGCTGAACCAACCTGGCTAGTGGCAGGCCATTGAGGCCTCGGAGCTTGCCACTTGCCATCACATGACACTCGGCCTATCTTCTGCTGAGCAGTGGCCAGCGCCCACGTACTCATGACTCATGAAGGGATGTGGGATACTGCAGGTTCTCTGAACAAACCAGAGAGCAGAGGCCTTCAAAGCACTGACAGTTTTTGGCAGGTTTCCTCTTGCTATTCAAGAATCGAGACTTTGGCTCACGTTACCCGATTTAACTGCATGCTCTCCTAGCTTGCTTTGTTCTGTTCTTACCAGTATGTGGTCTTCTGTGCTAGTGCTTGTGGAGTACATACTTTCATCGGCTGATCTCATCTTTTTGACCTAGGGTGTGAGGGTGGTTCACCTGGAGCTCCCTCCCGTCCTTGATCGTTTGTGCTTCCCTACTTGCATTCGTTGGCGTGGTCATTCTTTCCTGCAGCTCTTTTGGGGTCTCGCGCCTGCGTTTAAGTGCTACCAGCCATTTCTCCAGGAACTTACGCGTGCACGCGCCGCCTCCGGCCCACGTCCCAAGGCCCAGGAAATTCCAAAGACCTTTCAAAGCAGGTCCAAACCAAATTGCCAAAAACTTCGAGGGATCCGAAAATGCTTGAGGCTTTGTAGGTCGCAAGGGGGGTTGGATGAGGCATAGGAGTCCAAATCTTGGTCTGCTTTTTCTAGGCGCCTGTCGGCCGGAGGGCGATTTGCGAAAGGGATCTTCAGATTCACCACTAGATTACAGCTCATGTGAGATCCTTGTCAAGTTGTTCTTACGAAAATGCGCAGCAGCCGATGCCAGTTTCGCAGCTGCTAGCCGCAGGACATGTCATGAAATGGGGGGTCGGACTGTCTCGGCTATGCAACACTTGGTATTTTAGGAACGGAATCTTGACATACGAGCATTGCCTTGACGGTATCGCCTTCCTGCACGTAGCATAACATAACAATTTCCTGCCTAACAAAGCGAAGTACGGGGAGCAACATGCTAAGCCCTTCCGCATGCTTTTTCAAGACCTGCTGTCAGGCTCCTCACAGCCTCGCGGTGCTTTCCAACGATAGACCTTCTCTCGCCTTCCCCCCGAAAGCATTCCGCGAAACTCCAAACTGCGCGGCAGATAGTAGCTTAATGTCGAACAATATGCCGCACAACGCTTCGCCAGGCAGGTCATTCTGAGCGTTGATCTGAGGCATCTAATTCAGGCACGGGCTGACTAGACGAGGAGCAAGCTCTGCAACTGCCTGCGCATGATTCTGCATGTGCTGTTCTGCCATAGGGCACCATCACGGATACAGCAACACTTCATCGAACCTGCAACAAGAGGCTGGCACCGCGACTCGACAATCGCAAGTCAGATATCCGCAGTACTTCCTCAGAATATCAATGAAGCACTCTGCTAGCTTGCGCTGGTGGAGGAGTTGGGGACTCACTCACGAAACTTTGCAAGTGTAGAACGTCACTGAGGACCCAACCACAGACCGTAAATTGAGAAGGGCATCCGTTATGTGCGCCTTGGAACACAACGTCTGCCAAAAATTTCCCCGACAGGCAACTAAGTGGGTTAACTGGGCCCCTTGCAAGGGTGGAGTCCTGAGGAATCTCCAGCTTGCGAAGGGTGACCTGTTGAGATGAATCAGACGACCCGCAACACAAACAGCGGAGGCCTTCTCTACAATCCCTCGAAGCTGCATAGATGAGCTTGTTTAAACCAAGAACTCGCCCAATCCCACCCCTGTTGTCACCTCGCGTAGCTCAGGGAAGGAGTTGGGGCTGACCTTGCAAGATTGCAGTCGGACACGACCACTGGAGATCCTGATCCTCACACACGCTACCTTGATAAGGCAAGCTGTGCAGAAGCTGAGAACCCTGCCAGCTGCAGGAACAAGTAGCCATCTCCTAAGCATGGCAGATCTCAAGTCAGCAAGGACCCGCGAAAAACGGCACAGGGTCTTTGGGCTGATCCCCGTCTTCCTGCCAACCTACTATAGATCTGCAAGAATCATGCATTGCTGCCCATTGCTGCGCTTTTCGCGCAATCTAAATGCAGTGTCCGAGTTCTGTTCAAGAAGAGATGTTCATAGAATGCATGGGAGCCTCTTTGTCGTGTAGCGCGAGCATGCTGCTTAATGCGAGTATGTACAGTGCAACCCTTGATCGGGAAGCTGCCCTTAGAATGAAGGGACAACCCAACTACACTAGATCACCAAGGAATTTGCAATAGGAAATGGCCAGCAATGAGGCGGCAAAGATTTGCGAATGTCTGCCAGCTCACGCAAAAGTAAGCCACCATTGCCTGGAGACAAATCTAGGGCATGCGGAACAATCACAGCTGCGAATGGTTCTCCTGTGAAGCAACGCTTCATGTAGCAATGATGAAATAACAATGCAACCTTTGACATAGTTTTCCTTCGGCTAGCCGCAAACCATGGGCTCGTAAATCTTGCGCCTTTAGGGTTGCATACCACAACGGGGGATGGAAAAAATGGGGCCAAAGATGCTTCCACAGCATCTTTAGCTGGTTTGCGCAGCTCATGCCTTGCTGAACCACACTGCTTAATTGCAATGGCCACACCCGATATCTGCAGAGTGGTTTTCGAAGCTGCTTCATGGAGAACGCATGCATACTGTAAAGTGTCGAAAACTCACTATTTGACAGCCAAGTGCACTACACCCATATCTATATATATATTTATTTATTTATTTATTTATTTATTTATATTTATATTTATATTTATATTTATATTTATATTTATATTTATATTTATATTTATATTTATATATATATATATATATCTGCTAAAGCTAAGTCAGACTGGGACTGCTTTTCGAAAGGTATGCAGATAGTGTGAATGATGCGATACGTTGCTGGCATGTTGAAATTGACAAGAGCCCATACGGTAACGGCGCTGCTTCAGTTTCAGGTTCAATGTGGTTGTTTCAGAGTTGCTTTCCGTCGAGGCCCTAGCTCCTAGCCCCTTGCCGGAACATCCGGTTTCTCCCCTGGCGCTCATGAACTCAGTTGTGAGTCTAGACAGACAATTCTAAAGCATCTGGGTTCCTCAGCCAGGCATAATCAAACTACATGTGCAAGGAAACTCCTCTTTTCGTCACAACTGCTAGCCGAAAGACTACAAACAGCGCCCTAGCCTTCTGTTTCTTTGCTCGCGCTCGCGTCGTCGCAGTATCACATCGCACACACACACACACACACATATCTATGTATATATATATATATACGAATATATATGAACATGTCGTCATCTCCAGCATGGAAAATGCAACCCGGTGCTTGCGCAACAAGGGCACGAAATCATGAATTGATTTCGAAGATTTACATTGTTCTGTTGGATTCCTGCGCTGACACCTAAGCCCAACTAAATGCTGAGTCCACTCCAAACGCAGGAAGGCGTGCTGATGTGCTGAGAAATGGGTCTGTCGTTTGTTCCCTTGGGAAGGTTGCAGACTCAAGGTGCGTATAAGATTCATTAACATCTGGTAAATCGAACCGGAACAGCTGATGTTCGAAACATGAACCCAACAGCTTTGAAGGACGCAAGGTGCACCTCCGGTGATCCAACAAAGAAAGACAAACAGACAGTGACAGAGAGACTGAGAGATTTGGAGGCCAGGACGGCACAGACAGACAGACCAGCAGCCAGGCAGACCGAGAGAAAGTGAGGGAGAGCCCGAGAAAGAGAGAGAAGTGAAAGAAGAAAGAGAAAACAGGTATCAGCGTTGGTAGGCCAAGTTGCTCTGGAGCAGCCGCACACTTGAAATTGACTCGCCCAGCACAAGTGCATCCACAACGGGCTTTGCAATTATACGGAGGTACTCTGGGATCTCGCTGCGGCACTTGGAGTCCTCTACAAGCATGCCGCCACGCGAGCAGTGTACTAGAGTTACTAGAACCTACAAGCTCACACCCGACATCTGGGCAAGCGTCCTCCGCCAGAACGATCTGCATGTAGAAGCCTCGTCGCCGGTCAAGCAGCGGGAAGTAGCCGTAGGCTCCGGGGCCTGCTTGAACTGCTTCCTGAAGGCAGAGTTCTGAAAGCGGTGCCGATGATCCCTCGCTGTGGCCAGATCCATAACCCATGCAGTCAAACCAGTGGCCCATTCCTGGGAGTGCGGAGAGACTCAAAAGAATGCTGCAAAAGCATATTGTTTCAGCACTGCAACAGGTGCTGGTAACGAGCCGAGGGCTTGAGCTGAGGGTTTAGGTTGAGGGGCCATAGTGTCCAAACCATCCGTCACCACATGGAGACACAGGTGGCGCAGACCAGTCCTTCTCCATGTCTGACAAAACCTCCTTTCCAATAAATTCGTAGGTCAGCAGCTGCCGCAGCATTTTCTCAAAGTCTGAGCCCGTCGTAGTCATGCCAGATGCGAACTGAGGATTCCTTGAAGGTGTCCAGGTGGTCGAGTTCATGCCTTTGAGAGCACGGTCCGTACATTCTAGCTGCTACAACATGCTAACACGAAAATAGGACATCGTAAACTGCAAGGCGTGCACCTAAGGGGTTGTAGAGGTACTTCTGAAAGAGCATGTCAGGTCGGAGGCCGGAAGCTACAACGGCCATCGCTGCTGCAAGCTGGAGGTGGATCGAGATATAGGCCCATGTCTCTCCTGCGTCCAAGCGGTAAAATCAAAAACCCAAAGCACGCAAAAGCGCTGGAGTGCGATTTACACTGCAGTCCTGGTGGGCTTGTCAAACTGGCTGCCTCATACAGGCGCCTTGCGCATGAAAGGAAATCGGCCCACGGATTGAAGCTGCAGAAGAGCTTGGGATCTTTGGTGTAACCTCAATTGCATGCTGATCTGCAGCTTCCACACTTCCAGCTAAGGCTAGGCACGTCTGAGGCGTGTTGAGGCCAGAAACCGGATTGGAAGGTCATGAGATGTCTCAAGGTTATTCGGCTTCTGGGATCATCAGGGTCTTGCGACCACCAATCCAAGTATTTGTTGGCTTTGTCGTCGAAAGACATCGTACCTCGCCAATCATAGGCCCAGGCTCAATAGCTTAGAATCCCCGTCGTTGCTGCTTTGTTCGGGGGTTCTTTTGACGTGTCCTATTGGAAACCCTGAAAAACTTGAAAAATCCCCCCAAATTCCCGCCCCAAGATTGGAGGGAAAAACATAGGAAAACCCAGGGAGTTTGTAGGGGATATCGGGAAAATGTAGGGAACCGGCCGAAAAAAAACCGAAAAAACAACGGCAGCAAAATCGGGAAAATGCAGGGAAAAAAATGCGGAAAACGTAGGAACCGGCCGAAGATCAACGGCAGAAAATCGGGAAAACGTAGGACAAATGTAGGGAACCGGCTGAAGAATCAACTGCCGAGAATCGGGAAAACGTACAGAAAAAGCAGGGAGAACGTAGGGGAAACTGAGGGTTTAGGGTTTAGGGTTGAGGGTCTCGGCTTTTCGGTTTCGGATTTGCATAAACAAAATAGGGTGTGTCAGTGTTTTTTTTTGTCAGGTTTTAGTGGGTTTTTGTCAGGAAATTCTAGTGGGCTTTTGTCAGGTTTTAGTGGGGTTTTGTCAAGTTTTATTGGGGCTGTGTCAGGTTTTTGTTGGGGTTTTGTCAGGTTGGGGTCGGATCCCTGCTCGAGTAAAGAACCCCCAAACAAAGCAGGCATGGACGCTGTTCTCTGAAATAGCTTCCAAAGACGTGTGGACCTGGACAGCCTCCCCTGGACTGTTAAACCGTGCATGGTGATCCAACGGGAGATTCACCGCGTGGACACACTTCAGTGGTTCAGTGTAACTGCTGCCCTTGCCTCCTAACTACAGATTAACTGACGAGAAGCTCAGCTACAGAGACCATCATTTTTCCCCCCGGCCGTTCTCTAGACAAGCGGCCATCCGCCACGAGGCCAGCTATCGCCAGCGCAGCCGGCCATTTGGACAGGCTGGCCCCACGCAAGCGCTTGCGCATGTTTGTCGTACCTGACAGCATGCCTTCTTTTGTTTTTGGGATTTTGGGAAGTCATTAGAGTCATATGCTCATATTCCATTTTGCCTTTGGTGTATGTGAAGAGAGATCCATTTGCCGCGCCTGGGCGGTGCTGAAGAGCTTCCCCGACAAGGCACGGACAGACGGATAAACACAGTTTGCGGAGCCATGTTACGTCTGCTTAGTGCTACTGCTGCTTCGTGCTAAGTCGCCGGCCAACATTGAAGGAAAAGTCTTTATCCCAGCCAAGAGATGCCCATGCATCCAGGCCATCCCGCAGAAGCTGCCAACCATCTGCCTCGCTGCCCGTCACCAGAGACACCAGCGCCGGAAGCGTCACCCCTCCTGCTGCGCTGTGCCAGTGCTTTGCCGCTTCTGCCCCGCTACAGGTGTCTTCAGAAACTTCAATTCGCTGCCTCCTTGCGAGAGCAACTGGGACCTGCCCACACTGCCTGGTCCAGCAGTTTTTGATGGGTCCTGACAGTTCATATGAACACAGAAGATACGACCAGGAGGACGAGGAAGTGTTGGCCATGGCAATGGTTCACAACGAACGCCGGACTGAGATGCTCCATGTCTTGGGTGTCCTTGCCGTCAAGGATTGCAAGAACCACGGGCACGGAGACTTGTCGCAACAGGTCGCCTGAGATTGCTCCATGTCACGTGGATGACCTAAGGCACATTGTATTCAACTTGTGCGCAGGCAAGAAGGGTCTAAGTCCAGATGCTCCTGTTGCCACGGATGCGAATGTCCACGCGATGCTCCAACACGTTCGTGATGTCTGAGAGCTGATCAGGCTGAACATTTCGAAATTTCGACGGATACCTGAAGAGGATGCGACTGCCATTTGCAACCTCGGAGAGGAGGAATAGCATTGAGAATTCTTCGGCAGCGTGCAGCAAGGCGTACTGATGCACCAAAGCGGCTTCAAAAGTGAAATCAGTGTCAAACCCGAATGATTGCCAGGCTATCAAGCCATCGCGCAAGCCATCCCAGGCGAACGTAGGCTCTACGGCACGCGCCGCTGCTGAGAAGCCTGCCTTATCGCAGTAGTAGTCGTAGTAAAAGTCGTCGTCGTACTAGAACTATTACAACTACAACTACTACAACTATTGCAAATACAACTGCTACAATATGCAACAACTACCACTACAACTACGACTACGACTACTATGACTGCTACGACTGCTACGACTACTACGACTACTGCGACCATTACGACTTCTACGACCACGACTACGACTACTACTTCTACTACTACTACTACTACTACTACTACTACTACTACTACTACTACTACTACTACTACTACTACTACTACTACTACTACTACTACTACTACTACTACTACTGCTACTACTACTACTACTACTACTACTACTACTACTACTACTACTACTACTACTACTACTACTACTACTACTACTACTACTACTACTAATACTCATACTCATACTAATACTACGACGACGACGACGACTACGACGACTACGACGACTACGACTACTACTATTACGACTACGGAGTTAAGAGGAGTTTGGGGCTTTGCACTGGAGGGTTTGGGGTTTAAGGTTTAAGGCTTAATGACTTTTGGGCTTGCACTTGAGGCTCTGGGGTTTAGGGCTTAAGGCTACACGATTTTTGGCCTTGCACTTGAGGCTTTGTAGTGTTGGTGTAAGGCTACACGACTTTGGGGCTTGCACTTGAGGCTCTGGTGTTTAATTAGGGTTTAAGGTTAGAGGACTTTTGGGCTTGTACTCGAGGGCTTGGGGTTTAGGGTTCAAAGCTACACGACTTTTAGCCTTGCACTTGAGGATTTGGGGTTTAGGGTCTAAGGCTACACGACTTTTTCCTTGCACTTGGGGCTTTGGGGTTTAGGGTTGAAGGCTACACGACTTTTGGGCTTGCTTGAGGCTTTGGGGTTTAGGGTTTAAGGCTACACGACTTTTGGCCTTGCATTTAAGGCTGTGGGGTTTAGGGTTTAAGGGTAGAGGACTTTGGAGCTCTGAGACCTTGGGGTGTAGGGTTTTAGGCTACACGATTGTTGGGCTTCTACACGACTGTTGGGCTTGCCTGAGGCTTTGGGGTGCATGCACTGACTGCTTGTGTTGGTTTGTTCGCAAAGCACAGAACGCAAACCCCCCCCCAAGCAGGCAAAACGCACGAAAAGCGGCGAAAACGGCCACAACACACCGTGGTCAGTTAAGGACGTCTCACCTACTACGACTACGACTGCGACGACTGCTACTACTACTACTACTACTACTACTACTACTACTACTACTACTACTACTACTACTACTACTACTACTACTACTACTACTACTACTACTACTACTACTACTACTACTACTACTACTACTACTACTACTGCTACTGCTACTGCTACTGCTACTGCTACTGCTACTGCTACCTCCTGCTCCTGCTACTGCTACTGCTACTGCTCCTGCTACTGCTCCTGCTCCTGCTCCTGCTCCCGCTACTGCTACTGGCTGCTGCCACTGCCACTGCCACTGCTACTGCTACTGCTGAAATAAGGCCAGAGTTGCAAAAGTTGTAGACTGTTGCAGGAGCCTTCACAATGTGTGTATATCATTTTTAGAGCCGAGTCTCGAATGCCACCAGCCGGACTAGCATGACGGAGACTGCGTCACTGACTGTGCAAGTGCAATGGTAAATCGTCTTGTGGCCAACCTTTGCAGTGTTCGGAGACAGCCTGGCCTGCAATCCAACTCGTAGAATCAGAACGGTACCGATCAATGTGACTATGTTTATGTGCAGAGGCTCTCGTGCTTAAAGTGACTCGCGGATCAGAGGTATCGTCTATCTGACGCGGCCAAAAGGGCTTCAGGATCCAGAATGCAAGGGAAGTTGTGCTGATTCGCATTTCCACAATCGGCTACACAAGAGTTGAGGTAACAGCCGTCATCCATTCGAGCAAAGCTTGTCTCGAATACCTGAATGGCAGGCTGCCAGAAGCCATGCACACTCTATCACAGCATTTAATAATACTCGGCTCAGAATGAGCATGCTGGCCGCCACTGGCCAGCAGTGCCTCCTTGGCATACGCCTCATCGGCTGGATCCTGCACGGGTGAGAAGAAAAGACAAATGAAAGACCAGAAAGAAGGGCGGAAGAAGGGCAGAAAGCAGAAGAACCAAACGAAGTTGGCGGCGGCAGCTGTGAAAGGTGCACAGAAAAATCAACAGACAGGCGAGACAGCGCACAACCGGGGAACTACGAGTTCAGAATTCCAAGAAGCTGCAATCAATTGCAGTTTCCAGAATCCTCTTCATCGTCGTCACCAAATGGATCGTCATCAGCGGCCTGTGTTGCAACGTGTTGCAGGTCTCCCCTGCCTGCGTGACATGATAACGAACCAAAAGTTATCAATGTCCCGCCTGCGGCTTTGTGGGCTCACTGATGCCCACACCGTCAATGTCTCAGCGAGGGTGTGAGGCAAAGCTACATCTGTCAAAGCCGACAGTACAGACAGCTCCGACACTGGCACTGCATCCGACGGGAATACAAGATTCTCGGTTCAGGAGCGTGATAGACTCAAGAGACTCAAGAGATGCACTTGGCCGCAAGCGCAGCGACTTGCACGTAGCCGCTTCATCCTCCTTGGGCATCTGTAGCAAGTGCGCAGATGTCAGCAGATGTCGGAAAAGAAAGTCCCAGCTGGGTACCGGGCCATGACTGGCAGCTGATTGAGTCCTTTTGGGGGCTTATCTGAGTTGTACAATGGGGCCAAAAAGAATAGATCAGCCCCCTTGTGCCCATCACAAGTGACTGTCTCTTGGCATGCAATTCTTCTGTAAAGGTGCAGGACATCTTGCATCAGGGACATGAAGTTCTCAGGTGGCGGCGTACGAGGCTTTTGTGGTTGCACACGAGGTCGAGCAACAAATTCCTAAGTCACGAGGTGAAACTCAATCGATGAGCTGACGGAGTCCTTCGCGGAGCCTGATGAACATGTAACCATATGAAAAGAAGAGGATGGGACGCATCTTCGCGCGTCAAACCATTGCCCCGAAGGTCTAGATCCTGTACCGGGCTGTCCTCATGGAGGAGACCTGGAAGGGCACATGCTGTGCGCAGAAGCGATGCCGAGTCTGGCGATGTGACCGAGTCCAAAACTGCGGAGGGATTCATGCAACAGATTGTCTGCGAAGGTAGGTTCCCTGGGATCCAACTCCTGCATGTACTGCTTGCAGGCCGCACAAGGCTGCAGACGCTGTTGGAATGAAGAAATTTTTTTGCCACGACATGACTAAGCAAATTTTCCTCGGCAATTTTGGCGCAGGCGCCACTGCTGCCTAAGCGCAGGTCGGGACGCCAATGGAAACGCCTCAGGATCTTTTACGAGTGGGCAGTCTACAGCCACAAACACCCATGCATCCAAAAGGTCTGTCCAACAGAGCAACAAATCAGAGCATGAGGAGACCTTCGACACTTCTGGTGGTCATGCCTTTCGGTGATCACATTCTGAACTGACATGTTTGGTGGGGTCGTGATTGTTGCCTCCTTCTGTTGCTTTAGATTGCTAAAACTTGTCACAATCTACTTTCGCCAGAAGCATCGCGGGATGCTTAGGGGCCCAAAAAAATGAATATACGGAATCTACAAACATGGTTTTCCTGTTCAACGTTACTTGTGTCGAGGTTGAGTGCAATGGATTATGTACAAGTGTAAAAAAACTCCCCCAACAAGCTCAGCACGTTGGGATGCTCATCTCGTCATCGCCCTCTTCAGCATGCGGAGCCTCAGACAGCATCTCTTAAAGAGCATCTGAGTTTGACAAGCTGCAGCCTGATCTATCAGCCATTGATGGCCCCCCGAAGCCTTCAAAGGACCCTGAGCACGGGACGTCCAGCTCGTCGCCTGGCCGGACGAATCGGAGGTGGCCTGCAAAAGTGTTGTGGCAGCAGGTATACTAATGCAATCTTTGCAATCGCTGGGCCCCCTGACTGCCCTGGCCCAACCAGAGTGGCTTAGAGCTCTCTGGCCACTCGTCTGGTCTGGCCTGGGTCACAGGTTGGCTAGGCGGTTGGAGCAAAGCTTAGACTGACACATGCCTGCAGCATCTTGTTTCTCAAGCCGCACATCAAGAACCTCGACTTCAGTGCTCATGGATGCGCATCCAAAACGACCAGCCTCTCACAGCATCTCACAGCCGCTGTAAACCCAGAGTGGGCCAAGCTACGACACCTTCTGGAGCTGCAGTTCATTCCGTGCCTGCAATCAGAGAGTCCGTAATAAATTTAGTGAATCAGTTCTTTAAACATCCTTATCATCCTTATAAACTTGGGGTTCAAGCACCTCGTCATCCATTGGAAGCGGCACGTACAGGTTCTGGCTCGGGTCTTCGGGTGGATCTTGGTCACGCTGCTGATGCAAATTGTGGCTCATTGTGGCTGCTCCTTGAGTGCTGAGCTGGGGACCCTTGTATGCTCGTCGGCTTGGAAAGCACAGGACTTGTACTTGTGGAGGGTGCAGTCGCTCCACCTGTGGGTCGGTTCCGATCCCCCTCCAAAAAAAAGCCAAGCTAAGTGGCCTCGACTGGGAATGGTTCTTCCAGCGCCACGCCTGTCAAGGCCTCGACGAAAGCAAATTCGCCAGGTGAGCATTGCCAGTGAGTGGATATCAAGGGTGCCGCATCCACGAAATCCTTCGGTGACATGCTTTCAATCTCTGCGCGGGAAATGGCCGTTCCAGCCTCACACTCATCCACATGGAGCCATGACAGCGGTTCATCAGTTATCGAAGGAGTGAGCGACTGGTACTGACTTGCCATGACGAGGAGCTCATCAGAAGAACGCAACACCAACGCAGAAGCATGCAGAGGGTGAGGCACTCAGTAGCTCCACGAACCTGTCGCTTCGGATCAGCGCTGCCTACGCGATCGAGAGATGCGCAGGCAGCCGACAAAAAAGCAAGCGGTTCCGATTCACTTCCTACCAGTAGATGCGGCCTGTATGCCATCCAGCCAACTGTGCTGACGCTTTTTGAAGCGCTTCCGTGCAAATCTTGACGTGACCCACCTGGCGCGAAACATAGCCTCTTCAAACCTTGCCCCGAAAAGCGTGAAGACACTTGCAACACTGCCATGGCCACTTAGGTTCCACTCGGATGCGTTCCACTGGCAAGGGTTTCTCACGACCTGAACAATCGCCACAGGAAGCGCGCGTCGGCACAGCTTCTACGCCCACTTTTGGAGCATGTTCTTCCATCTCAAGGTATACCCTAAACCCTAAACCCTCAACCCGTGCTTAGAAGGGAAGATCACAGCTTCGGCCTTCAGTGACATGGCCTAGGGCGGTTCCAAGCAACGGGGACTACGTGATCTAGTGTTTTATGGCAAAAAGTACCTCGCATGTACTTGCAGGGCTGGGTGGCCGGCAAGTGACCGAAGGTTCGCAGTGCGGGTTTTCGGCAGAGGAAATGATGTCACAGAAGTGCTCAGTGCTCTGTGGAGGCGATACCAGCCCGATACCACCGATTCATAAACAAGGTGTTGGTGGTTCTGTTACAATGCGCAACAGCGAAACTTAATACTTCAATTTGAGCGATGGAAAGAGAAACTGATGACAATCAGTTTAACACAAAGCATAACTGACTAACTGCGGGCGTGACTGCCGATTCCAGGCCCAACCACTGGAAAAGGGACTGATGACAAAGCAACTCATCGCCGCTAGATTCTGCTTCTTTAGCATTTTCAGCCATGGGGCCTTGGGGGGGGGGAAGGGGGGCGGACTGTATCACTAGCAAAACATGTAAACCCTGGCCGTGGTAACCTAAATTCTGGCCTTGGGCAACTAAAATTCAACATTTTGGGTGATTTTGGGTTAAGATTTAGGGGTTTGTGAACAAGAAAGAGGTTAAGATTTAGGGGTTTGTGAACAAGAAAGAGGTTAAGATTTAGGGGTTTGTGAACAAGAAAGACCCCCAATGCACCACTGTTTGGGTCTCTCTCTGTGCTGTGCCAGCGCATGAAATGGCGGACCGGAGCATCAGGAGAGGGTCTATGTGGGGGATTTATGGGTTGATAGGGTTGAGGGTTTAAATGGCCCTCTGTTGAAACCCTGAAAGTAGGCCTGACAGGCCTTCTGCAAGCCCCACATAGGGGAGGCCAGCAGCACTGTTCAAAGCAATTGCTGATAGATGCGAGAGAGAACACGTTTTCTTGATATTAAGCTTTCAAATGTGAGTTCCGAGTTTCCATGATTCTTTGAGCCATGTGTGTTTTTAAACGTTTTGGGCAGGACGGCAAAATTTTTGATTGCACACACACACACACACCGAGACTATTTTTTATTCGTGTCGGTCGAAAAACGAATTTCTTTCAATCCGACAATGTTTCACAGGGGGGGGGGGGGGGGGCAGGGCGTGTCAAAAAATGACCCCTGGCACTTGACACAGGTGCCGGATGCTTCTGATGCCTCAGTTTTTTCCAAGTGTGACATCATCATTCAATTCCTCAGACAGACTTGCAGCCCAACAGACCCCTGAAGTTGACCTGCCAGGGCCACGCGTGAGCATGTGGGACAGAGCACCCTAAACCCTAAAAACCCTAAGCCCTAAGCCCTACACCCTAAACCCTAAGCTCTGGGAACCTTTTTCTTAGGACTGGAACTGAAGCCAGGGCAGCAGCCATCCATCCAGCTGACAGCTCTAGGAACCCTAAACCCTGAACCCTAAGCCCTAATTAAGCCCTAAGCCCTAAACCCTAAACACTAAGCTCTGGGACAGAGCAAAAGTGTAGGGTTTATATGGTTTAGGGTTTAGGGTAAAATAGTGCGCTCTGGGACAGAGCAGAAGAAACAAAGCTCTGGGACAGAGCAGAAAAAAAGAAGCAAAGCTCTGGGACAGAGCGCAACAAACAAAAAGTTCTGGGACAGAACAGAACTGGGACAGAGCAGGAGTATCAAAGCTTTAGAGCAGAAAGAAGCAATGCTCTGGGACAGAGCAGAAGAAGCAATGCTCTGGGACAGAGCAGAAGAAGCAATGCTCTGGGACAGAGCAGATGAGTACAGCAGAATCACAGACCTGCAGCCCAGCAGGCCCTTTCTGATCTCCAGCAGCTGGAAGGCCTCGGGTCAGGTGTTGGGTTCCTTGTAACAAGTCGTAGTAGAAGTAGTAGTAGTAGTAGTAGTAGTAGTAGTAGTAGTAGTAGTAGTAGTAGTAGTAGTAGTAGTAGTAGTACAGTAATAGTACAGTAATAGTAATAGTAATTCACTAGTAGTAGTAGTAGTAGTAGTAGTAGTAGTAGTAGTAGTAGTAGTAGTAGTAGTAGTAGTAGGCAATAGCAGTAGCAGCAGTAGCAGTAGCAATAGGAGGAGTAGTAGTAGTAGTAGTAGTAGTAGTAGTAGTAGTAGTAGTAGAACTAGCAGTTGTGGCAGTAGTAGCTGTGCAGTAGCAGTAGCATAGCACTAGTAAGAGTAGTAGTAGCAGTAGCAGTAGCAGTCACAGTAGCAGCAGTAGTAGTATAGTAGTAGTAGTAGTAGTAGTAGGAGTAGGAGTAGGACTAATTGCAGCAGTAGTAGTAGTAGTAGTAGTAATAATAGTAGTAGTAGTAGTAGTACATTTAGTCTTAGGACCAGGACTAGTAGTCGCAGTAGCAGTAGAGGTAGCAGTAGCAGTCGTAGTAGCAGTAGCAGTGTTAGTACTAGTAGTAATAGTAATCGTCGTAGTAGTACTAGTAGCAGCAGTAGTACTAGGAGTAGTAAACATAATAGTAGTAGTAGTAGTAGTGGTAGAAGTAATACTAATAGTACTAGTACTAGTACTAGTAGTAGTAGTAGTAGTAGTAGTAGTAGTAGTAGTAGCAGTAGTAGTAGTAGTAGCAGTAGTAGTAGTATCGTAGTAGTAGCAGTGGTAGTGGTAGTAGTAGCAATAGTAGTACTAGTAGTAAAGTAATAGTAATAGTAATAAATACTAAAAGTAGGAATAGTCGTAGTAGTAGTAGTAGTAGTAGTAGTAGTAATAGTAGTAGTAGTAGTAGTAGTAATAGCAGTAGTACTCATAGTAGTAGTAGTAGTAGTAGTAGTAGTAGTAGTAGTAGTAGTAGTAGTAGTAGTAGTAGTAGTCAGTAGTAGTAGTAGTAGTAGTAGTAGTAGAAGTAGTAGTAGTAGTAGTAGTAGTAGTAGTAGTAGTAGTCGCAGTAGTAGTAGTAGTCGTAGTAGTAATAGTAGTAATTGTAATAATAGTAGTAGTAGTAGTAGTAGTAGTAGTAGCAGTAGTAGTAGTAGTCGTAGTAGTAATAGTAGTAATCGTAATAGTAGTAGTAGTAGTAGTAGTAGTAGTAGTAGTAGTAGTAGTAGTAATAGTAGCACTAGTAGTCGTAGTACTAGTAGTAGTAGTAGTAGTAGTAGTAGTAGTAGTAGTAGTAGTAGTAGTAGTAGTAGTAGTAGTAGTAGTAGTAGCGGTAGTCGTCGTAGTAATAGTAGAAGTAGTAGTAGTAGTAGTAGTAGTAGTAGTAGTAGCAGTAGTAGTAGTAGTAGTAGCATGAGCACTAGCAGTAGCAGCAAAGCAGTAGCAGTGTAGTCGTAATAGTGGTAGTAGTGGTAGTAGTAGTAGTAGTAGTAGTAGCAGCAGCAGCAGCAGTAGCAGTAGCAGTAGCAGTAGAAGCAGTACACAATAGAATGTCAATGGTCTTGGTAGTGCCAATGGTAATATGAACAACAGTAAGCAAACTAATACTGGTGCGAACAAGCAATATGTGTTCAATGACATCAGTTCAGGGCCTCCAAAGGTTTAGTGCTTTAAGCTCGAACATGTTGGGATTTTTTGTAATAGGTTGTTATGAGCTTATGTCGATGTTAATGAGCTTTCTTGGTCCCTATTTCTACTTGGAGTGGATGAGCCCTTGATTGAGAAGTAAGCTTGGGATTTGTATGTCATGCAAACAAGTGAAGGCTTCGATTTGTCGGTTTTCCTTGGTGATTCACAGGGATACAACAATCTGAGATGCTAGCATATGAAGCATGCTATGTCGATGTGACACACTTGATTTCATTGCGCACCCGAAATCACATGTCCTTGTGAACTGTGTGGCTGCTGACACTGCCAGGGCAGATGCACTCAGACCAAGCAGTTTGTCATTCAGCTTGCCTGCACCTCAGACCCAGTTGCCTTTTTCACAGTGAGCCAGACATGAGCTGAGATCTGTCATGGGGGGTGAGTTAAAGTACATGCAGCCCTGCATGGAGTGGCCATGGTCTGCAGTGATGGCAACTGGCTCCAGACAGGGTTCCTTACAGCCCTGCAGCCCTGCAATGTGGGATGGGCTGGCAGTGGAAGAACGGTGGCTGGATTTGGGAGGAGGAAGCCAGGGGGTTACCTTGTGAATTGTGGGAGTTGCATAGGTCCCATTTCCAACCCCACTGGTTCGAAAGGCTCCGAAGCTTAAGCGTGCAAGCGGTGTCGTTGTGGGCAGCTCCCATGACAATGACTCCCATCAGAGGCTGGGAGCTGGGTGCAAACCGTAAAACCCTGAAACCTGATCTCCTAAACCTTTTGCTCAGGAGAGAAAAGGATCGAGATGGACCAAACATAAAAACAAAGCTGGACCAAAAAGACAGGGAGATCAGTGATCTGAAGGCACCGACATTTCATAGTCAGTGTAGTAGGTTCCAGAGCACTGACCATTCATTCTGGACAGGAGCAGCTACACAAGGTTACCATGGAACTCGGCGCTGCAAACTCGCAGAACACAAAGCTCAAAGCACCTCGACTGCACCCAGGGTCTTGATCCCTTGGAGAGCCAACCAATGGGAAACCTTCCATGCCAGGAGGCAACGGAGACTCATGATGAGGCAATGGGCCTGGATGATTGATCACAGCTAGTTGAGTGGGGCCAGGTTAGACTAAGACACCAGAGTGACAGTAACTGCAAGGAGTTCAAAAGGCTCCAAGACGACCTCGCCAAGGCGACACCGCTGTAGGGTGGCAAGCTGAACCCTAAGCAATATGTTTCCAGACCCTGTAGGCAGAGCATTCCCTCACAGATGCCCGAGATGCGAAGAAGCTGGCGCAACAGGCCCATCAGTCACATCAAAAATTGGAAGCCTTTGGCCATGTCCCTGCCAGGATCTCGCAAAGCTTCGCTCCACCCAAATTGCAGACAAAATGCAACTGGAGGGTGAGATCAATGAACTCCGGAGGGCCCGGGACGAGGCTATGAAAGAGAAGGCAGGGCAGGGCCAGTGTCACATTCCATGGAAGCCCATTGATACTGAGCATGCCTGGCAGGACATCGCTCTGAAGTCGTGCGAGGATCACACCTCTCAGATCTCAAAGCTGGAGGACAAGCTGGGGGAGACCATCACTTGTCACTTGACAACCACATCTTGCAACAATCAGTGAGTGACACTCGAAGAATTGCACCTGGCAGGCCAGACTAGCAGACCTGCAGAACAAGCTGGCGCAGAGCAAGGTGCATCGATCGAATTAGAGTGGAAAGACACAGAAGTAGCTCACTGTCATTGCCAGGGCAGGTGTCAGAGCTTGAAGCGAAAGCTGGCAGACAAGGAGAAGGAGCTACAGAGTGCCCAGGACACACTCCTGAAACTGAAACCAATTATACAATAACATGTTTGACCAACATACTCTCTAGTTTTGGTGTGAGGAGACACTGGAACAAGGTGATCAGGGCCTGAAAGACATAATGTACAGAGCTGTGTACCAGGCTGAATCATGACATGTGGCTAGAAGAGCAGTAATCATTGCCTGAGTATTTATTCTTTCGTGGCTGCACCTGCAGGGCTCACCCACATCACCTGTTCTCGAGCCCAAAGTGGAGCCCAGTGACGACGAGGCCTCCTATGCGGCCTGAAGTGCAGCTGAGATACTTAGAAACAAACCAAATTATGCCCAAGTGGTCCCCAACTCATTCCTTCAAAACCCTACATGTTCTGAGCCTGTGAAGTCCTTGTTTCCAGATGGTGCCCACAGAGCTGGCCTCACCACCAGTGGTGGATTCTGAGAGCGACTGAGCCCTGCAGTCATGACATTGGAAAAGGGATCGTGCACTGAGAGTTCTTGACCTGCTTATTCATTTCAGCCACTGCACTGACTGATGACCTATGTGACATTGAGTGCTGGTTGCTTTGAGGCCAGAAATTGCTGGCCTGGACTGCGTTTCCTGCAGGCAGAGATGCTTGCAGCTCCCGAAACTCTTGACACTAAAAAGGTTTGGGTGGGTTGGGGATTTAAGTTCAGTGCTTAGGAAAAGGGTTTGGGCTGGGACTGCTGGGTTGAAGCATGATAAACCTGAGCCCTAAACCCTGAGCCTGGCCACTGCAGGCTACTGGTCTGGTGGCAGAAGTGGAGCACGCCAGGGGTGTTTAAGCCTGTCTAGATTTAGGGTTTAAGGGCTTGATTTAATGTAAGTAGATTGATGGGAGTCTGTGTCACAATTGTCTTTTATTGGGTGGGTGTCTCGAGACATGCAGGTTGATGGGTTCAGGCGTTTAGGAGTCTAGGGGAAAATTGAGGCTTAGGGCTTTGCAGGGTTTAGGAGTTTGGGAGTTTAGGGGGTATTTCAGCTCTTGGTGTTCTCTTATTTCTTGGTTGAGAGCAGCATAGTTGGGCTCAAAACTCGAAGAGTACTGAGACACATTGCCACTCATCACTCAGCATGATGGACTTCACCGTGGATATGCACATCGACTATGTTTCCGGGTTGTCAACAAGGCACCCATACTATGTGACTCTCTTCAGCACTGGAATCACGTCAGTCTCTGAACCTGCAAGCCCTAACCCCTATGTTGGAAGCTAGGAACACCAACTTCGGGCAAGCTAGGAGCACCAACTTCGGGCAGCGCACAGATGCTGCTGTTGGACCAGACCCAGTGGCTGAAATCAAGTTCATAGCAGAGCCTTTCAGCATGGTCTTGACCTTGATTCAGTGTCAGATTGCAAAATTACTGTGTTTTTTCAGTGGGAAATCAGATCTCACAGGTCTGGCACCACAAGACCTATGCCAGCATGGTTGGCCATAACATGCTGGTCTTCACGATTCATCGCCAGAACGCAATGAGTGCAGATTGCGAAATGGGCCATACCAGCATTGCTCCCTGATGCAAAGAGTAGCTAGCCGCTTTAAATCTTGATGGCATTTTGGACATTGAGAGTCTCAGCATCGTGCACAAATGCCACTAAGGGGACCAGTGTCCTCAGCGATGAATGGCAGAGGTATGAGCTGCCAGTCAGTTCAGGTGGCCGCGCCATCGCAAAGCTTATGCTGGAGCTGAAGCACCGTGGGGAACCAGTGGGTCCCAGCAGCAGCCCTGCAGACCCCGACAGCCCCACAGACCAGCAGCCCTTCAGCTCTTCCCCCAGTGCACCAGCAGCCCCAGATGTCCAGCAGGCCTTGCAATTTGGCCCCAGCCCCAGCCCCAGCCCCAGCCTGGGGCAGCCAGCTATTGGCTGGGATGGCCTGCAGCTGGCTTTGCGCAGGGGTTATGACATGGGTGTTGCAAAAGCTGACCCGCTGGAGTCGTGGCAGTGGCTCTTCATGGCGCAGAATGCATCCTCGTATGGTGGCGTTCCGTTCGCTGTCTCCATCCAGGAGATTGCGAAGAAGTGTGACATGGCCAAGTTTTAGTTGAGCTCATGAAAGGTAGTGGCTCGTTCTGATTGACTGTTGAAAAGCTGAAGACACAATGACCAATTATGATTGCCCCCCCCCCCTTTGCAATCTATCAGGTCAGAGCTCCGTAGACATCTTCCCGAAGTTGGATGTTCGGGTGATGCAGACCACCTTGAAGACAACAGACCGGCAGACCTACAGACGAGAAATCGGTGCCGCTTCTGCATTCATAAGAAGTTCATGAAGACCACAATGCACTAACTGCCACACCCCCAGATCCCAATTACATCTCACCATGGGGTCCCGCACATGCAGACTCACAGACTCAAACCAATAGCCTGCACCTGTAGACCCCAAAGTGAAAGTCATGATGTTCCAGTTAAACCATAAAGCCCAGACCTGACAAACTTTCAAGTCCAAGGTCTACTTGAGCAGCTGATGAACAACCCGCAGAAGCAGCAACTCCTTCACGCGTGGCTGCACGACACTTCTCATCGATTCAGAAAGGGGCTTCAGGTTTGTATGGTCTGGCAGGGCGTGGGACTGGCTGCTTATTTTGGATGTGGCCTTTTCGAAAGGACTCGAGAGCTGTGGTTGAGATTTAGGTGTGGGTTTGAGGGTTTTGTTTTGCTACAACACAGTCAAAACAAACAGCAATCAGCAGCAGGACTAAGGCAGGTATCAGAGCTTATAGTTAGAGGTGGTGTTCTGTTTTAACGCCTAAGTCAAGCAGCCCAAGGAAATTACCCAGACCAACATTCCGTGCACAGCAGCCATGCTCTTTGCCTTCCAGGAAGGACGCAGTTTCGCAGAGTGCTCTGTTGGCTACATGTTCCCGAACACCCCTGAGTACCGCCTGTCAGACCATGCTGCCTGTTTGCAGGACCAGTCCTTTTTCATGTAGAACCAGAAAAAGCTTTTTATAACTTTTTCATTCACACCAAATGGTGGGTCACTTTTTCTCGTTAAGTCAAGGTGAACGCAGCCATGCTTGTCATTCGAGATGCAATGGTGCTGATTGGCAATTGGACTGGGTTGTCAGTGCAGACCAACAGACCTGCAGCCGCCCACCAGGATAAAGTTGACGAATAACAAATTATAAAACTGCACATGTCCCTACTCTACCCCCTGAACCTTCAAACATTCAGACCACCCATCACCTGGCAGGAGACATTGGTTGAGTTCTTGAACGCCCACATGGGGTGGGGTTGGCACAAGCAGGAAGTGCCAATTCTCGCAGATCCAAGTCAGAAGTGGGAGCTTCAGATGTTTGACAACGACCTCATCCCTGCCTCCATTGCGCACGCCCGCAGGGACGACTTCAGCTTCTCAGCAATTATTATTGCAAACTTTCAGCTATGAACAAGATTTGATGTCAAGTTTGTGTTAGGCTGATGTTGTGTCTTCTGCTGAAGGCTGGACAGACCTGTTCGAGCCACTCGAGCAGAAGAGCTTCTGGCTGGAGATGAATCACCATTTCCTGTGGGTGTTCCATGTGAAGACGAACCAGGCTTGGCGCCCGTCCGACACATCGGACACAGACTTACAGACCAACAGACCCACGGTTGGTCCCGGCCCAAGCCCAGGCTTCCCCCCGCACATGGTGCACTTCAAGGTGCTTAGGAAGCAGGAGGAATCTGCGGTTTGGTCGCGGGGGGTCGATTCCCGCAAGATCATCTACGGAGACACTCACCTTGACACTAAAATGTTTACTACTTTTCTGTGGAACACAGCAAAAAAAGCCTGCCTCTTATAGGCAGGACGAACTAAATCATTTAGGTCCTCCAACTGTGAACTCTTGTGGGTCTTCATCAGCCCAGGCGAAGGAGCCGTTTGTGCCCATTTTTGCAGAGAGGAACGGCCTAAACCCCAACTGGCTGGTCCGCCGACTCAGCCTCAAATCCAACACCGGCAAGCTTTTCGAGCAGGAATCGTGGATGTGACCAGGCGTGCATTTGGCCATTCCGAATTAATAGCTCCACTTTCCTGGGTTGATATTTGGGATGTATCAAGATGTTGTTCTTAGGGTTTAGGCTCAAGGGTATTGGGGTCAGTGATTTGGATTTAGGATTCAGGTTTTGGGGAGTTTCCGGCCAGTCAGGCAGATCAGCCAATGGTCTTTGGATCGGATGGCAGTTGCGCGCACAGCAGTGGGTGCCCAGCGCTTTGCCGTCATGCTGGAGATGATTCTTTTCCAGCAATTGGCAATTCATTACCCTGATTTTGTATCATCCACAACCCATTTTCTCTGATTTCATCTTGATGACTGTCATGAATTCATACCTGAGGTCTCATGCTCCCGGGGCCAAAAGTTCCAACCGACCCAAGCTCACCTTGATGAAAGCCTTTTGGATGAATGGTCTAAAAGCCAACCCTGAGTCCTCTCCCCAGAAGCACATACTAGGCATTATGTGCATATTTATGTATATATATATATATATGTATGTATGTATGTACTGAAACCTGGCTCTGGCCCCAACCGAAAGCATGTGGCCCTTAACCTTTGATACCCTAGACACTAGAGCCTAAACCCTAAACCCAAACTCCTAAACCTGTAGCCTGAACACTTGGCATTATTGCTGAAAGTGAATATAAACCCCAAGCTTGTAAACCTGAACCATCAGTCACCTCTGCACCCATGAGCCTGAACCTTATGTTCTCGAACAACTAAGTTGAAGTCTGCCTCAATGACAGAAGACGTTCTGCGTCTGGTACGCTTCTGAGCGGCGGTGCTTCCAGCTTCCAGACCTGCAGACCTGCAGACCTGCAATGTAGTGGCTCGAAAACATGGCAGGATCAGGCTGTTCAAGATTGAAGTTTGTCGCTAGCGTTGCAGGCTGTTGTGCAGGAGTACAAAGGAAGCTTGTTTCATTTTGCAGTGCAATGCACATGCCCACAAATGACAGCAACAAACAGTCGCTTCACCCAGTGAGTGTGAAAAAAAAGGTGGTCCAAGTTTCTTGGCTTATTGTGGAACCCAGGATTGTTGGGAAGTTGGTTTATAGTTAGGGCAGTTTAGGCGTTGTGTATTTCAATATACTGGATTCACGGAGTCGGAGAATTAGATGAGTTTCAGGTCAGGTGGGAGGGGGTGTGTAGTACATTGTCGATATTTGAAGGTGAATGGTGTTCAAAGGCTGTCGCAATGCTTCAAGATACACTGACACATGATTGATGTGGTGAGGCCTGGCCAGCACAGGAAGAGGATTGGTCGTGGGTTTGGGATAAACCACCCTGAGTAGGCTGCCCAAACAACCCTAACCTCGTGATCTGGATGACCCTGGCCTCTGTAGTGTTTAACCCACACTTTCTCATTCTAACCCACGTTGTCAAATTGAAATAGTGACTCTGAGCCTTGAGTCCACATCCAGAAAGATGCCGAAAACCAAAGACAAGCCTAAACTCCCTGGCAAACAACCGGAACTTGGAATCATGAACACCTGTGTCTTAAGCCTGTGCCCCAAGCCTAGTATCCCAAGCATATTGCAAAGTGTTCCCACAGCCCTGACTCTGATCTCGTTCTCCTTGATGCCAAAAACCTGAAAAGAACAAACCGAACATCCCGAACACCACACACCCCAAAGGGGCCAAACACCCAAGCAACACAAGAAAGACTCAGGTCCTTCTCCAGCCCAGCAGACCAGCAGACCAGGTCTGCATGGTTTTCAGGCTGGGTCACTTTTGCATTCTAGAGTTTCGGCCTTAGGGTTCTTTCGACACCTCCATGTGTAGGTGGCCTTGACCGCTAACCCTGAACCCGACACCGATTGCCAAACCCCGAAAGTCCAAACCCCAAACTGAATCCTTCTTTTCTGTGGAAGAGTGGAAGAACAAGGAAGCTGCACCCTGCAAGCCTCAAAACTGTTCACCAGGATCCCAGGGAGCTTACAGCCAAAACCCTGAAACCTGGGCCAGCTGCCTGGGATCCTGGCATAATCTTGCACTGAGCACCTGCCCAAGGAGAACTTGAATGGGGGGAGGGGGGGGGGGGGGGGGGGGGGGGGGGGGGTTGGGCAGTTTGGTAAAACAACAGGTTGCGTCTTGACTTTTCTTGTACAAACATTTACATGGCCTGTCCAATTGCATGTCTACACTGTTTTCTATAGGAAAAACCAAGTCGCAACCGGTTGCGTCTTGGCTTTTCCTATACAAACATGTACATGACCTGGCCAATTACATGTTTCCACTGTCTTCTACAGGAACCACCATGTCACAACTGGTTGCATCTTGGCTTTTCCTATGCAAACATCTACATGACCAGCCCAATTGCATGTATACACTGTTTTCTATAGGAAAGCCAAGACGCAACCAGTTGTGACTTGGCTTTTCCTGTACCAACATGTACATGACCTGGCCAATTGCATTGTATATGGAGCTTTCTATAGGAACATCCAAGTCGCAACCAGTTGCGTCTTAGCTTTTCCTATACAAACATGTACATGACGTGTCCAATTGCATCTATCTGATATTTACTCTCGGAAAAGCCAAGACGCAACCGGTTGCGACTTGGCTTTTCCTATATAGAACATGTACATGACCTGAAAAATTCATGTGTATGCTGTTATCTATGGAAAAAGTGACTTCGCAACCAGTTGTGTCCCGACCTCAGCACTAGCCCTCACCTCTGAGTCTGAAACCTCAAGACCCTGCAAAACCACATGTGCACACCCACAGACCCCAAAACACCTGAAGAAGTTGACATTGCATGTCAACTTCTTAACACCAACCCCCCACCCTGCCCCAAACCTGGTGCCCCCAAACCCTAAAATGGCATAGGCGATTCACCCAGCTATAATCTGATGAAGAGGATTCATGGCTTCTGCGTTTAGTGTCTGGGGTTGGGTCTAGGGTTTCCCAAGAGCCAAGCGTCAGGCCAGCTGACTTCGAAGCCACAGGCCGGCTTCGAGGTGCTAAGGAAGAGGGGATTCAGTAAACCTGACTCATCTCAGAGCCTTTCAGGGTTTAGGGGTGGGCTTAGGCTATTAGGGAAAAGTAGGAAAGCTCTGGGACAGAGCAGAATAAAAGAAACAAAGCTCTGGGACAGAGCACAACAAAAAGAAAGCTCTGGGACAGAGCAGAAGTCTCCCAAAGAAAGCTCTGGGACAGAGCAGGAGTATCAAAGCTCTGGAGTTCTTTCTGGTTCATGCCAAAATCCTAAACCCTAAGCCCGAAACCTCAACCACCCTCACGTCAGGCCCGATTTGAAGAACTTCAACAGCAGGCAGACTGATGTGGGACTTGGGTTAGGTCTAGGGTGGGTTTAGGGATGTCGGGGTTGGATTTTGGGCCGTAGTATTCACCAAGACTCTGGCCCTGTTGTTGGGTTGGGTCTTCACTGTAATGTGATTAGGGTTCGGGCCCTAGTGTGTTTTGTTTCTTGGCTAGGATTGGATGAGAAACTGGGCCCCTTTGATCCCTTTCCTTGTGCTGTCGGTTTGGGTATTTAGGTTTAGGGCTTAGGGTTGACAACAGGAGGGTGACTTTGAGGTAGGCTGCCAAAGCAAGGGATTCAGGGTTCTTGCAAATGCCACAAAGTCCCACTTAGTAGGCTTAGTGGTGGGTGTTGGGGGGAAGGCTCAGACTGTGGTTCCTGACAGGAAAGTTGCCAGGTGGTTTGAAGGTGAATTAGTGGGTGACTTTGGTCGTAAAGCTACTGTTCCCTGTCCTCCTTCTCTGCATGGTTTTTGTTGAAGACGCCCCAGGGCAAGTGGGAGCAGTAAGTCATATGTATCCCCTGATCGCTTATAGCTTCAACATGAAGTAGTAGGACGACCTGTCTCCTCGCCGATAGCGTGGATGCATCTGGAAGGATTCAACAAACGGCTACTACACCAAGACTTGGATACGACATGGTTGCAGCATGCTGATGATTTAGGAAGACTAGGATGGTGCCATGACCACATTTGCACGTCGCTGTCCTGCTTCACACATGTGCAGCTCTACTCAGCACTGAATGTTATCTTGGAGCCACAACACTCTTAGAGATCTCATACCAGTACTGGCCCTGCTGCACATCATGATCTCTTCTGCGCCATTCCATGTGTGAGACGATACTATATCACCATCTCATTCTTATGGTGGTTGCACACCGGCTAGCGCGCAAAGTTTTGTGTAGGGGTTCGGCTGTGAAAGGTGTGGATGGTCTGCTGGTCTAAATTGATGTTGTAGTCTGTGCTGTTCAAAGTACATCGGTTCAGCTGTGCTTTTTTTCATGGAGCCGGGGCCTGTGCTGACTACATGAAAAGGTTCATTGCAATGTGTCTTTCAGAATCGCAGGAAGCTTGCAGTCGATGATGTCCTTCATGGTCTTGCATTCCTGATCATTTATGACCTCAGCAATAGCAGCGTGTATCTTCATGCCTTGGACTTCTAGCATGCTTTGCTTGCTCCAACTGCCTGGCCCTGCACTTGTGTCACTTTTTCTTTGCCCTTTCTTTGGAGGTTTTCATGAAAATATCTAATTAGACACCTTCCCTCACACTGAGCAAGCAGCTCTGAGTTTGGACCGAAAATTACAATTCTAGAATGCTTCAACAAGTGTTTCCATGCAGCATGTCTTTCTTTGTCTGAGATTCTAGAGGGCTGCCCAAAGCAAAGCCGACAGTGTCTAAGCTTTCAGTTTCAGGTTTCGGTTTTAGGGTTTACAGTCTGGATGCAAAAAAAAAGGGTTTACAGTTTATAGGTGGAGTGCAATGTTAGATTACATTGGGGGCAAGGGTAACAATGAGTTCTCTGCAGGCTTGCCTCGTTCTCGAGGACTGTGCTTCTGTTGCCTGGAGCTCGGGTTGCCAGCCCAAGAGCAAGGGTGCAGGCTGAACCACATTTAGGGTTTAGGGTTGGGCAAGGTTAGGGTGGAGTTTCCATCATGGCAGCGCTAGTTCTGAGATTGGATGGCACCCTTTTCAGGTGTTTGGCTTCAGGTTCAGAGGTCAAGTCTATGAGGGTTCATCAGAGTTTAGGAAGTTAGTGCGTTGACCCCAGCACTGCTCTGGCGGGCAGGAGTTGAAGTGTGTCAAGTCGATCGTGCTTTGGGGCTCAAGCTCTACCTTACCGCGACAGGGTGTTCTTCGACACCCTACTATATTGTGGGTCCGACAGACTGACCTGCTGACACAGGCCTGGACGTTTTGCCATGTGAACTTACGAGCTGAGACATAGCTATGGCAATTCCATATCTCTAGATCTTCATCCCCACACCCAAAACCCAGAAGCAACACTGTGATCTCAGTCCTCGAGCCTTCGAGCTGCGACCCTACAGACCTGAAAGAACCCCTAAGCCCTCAACACACCACGTGAAACCCTAAACCCTGCAACGCTTACTTCCACCTGACAATGTAGTAGCCTTTGATGTTTAAACTCAAGTCTGAAATATACTACTTTGCAGAACACAATGATTTTCAGACCCTCAGAATATCACTTACCTCAGATCTTAAACTCTGAGCCCTGAATCCCTGAGCCACAGGCCCCCACCCCCCAAGACATGCAGGCCCAGGACTTTCTCGCACAGACCAGCAGACCTGCAGCCTCGCCCAGCTTGAAAATCACCAGGCCGACCAATGTTCAGCCCTTGTCATGTTTGGGGTAAAGATGATGGATAAATTGTGTGGCAAGCTCTGCAAGACTAGCTCGCTATCAGACCAATTTCCATCAGCTGTGTCATCTTTCAAGAAAAGCAACATCCAGGAAAGTGGAAGTGTGGTCCACAGACTAGAAGTCGAATCGGGGATTCATCAAAAGACACTGTGCCCTGCTGCTCTTTCAGTGCACCACTACAACAGTAACAAGTATCAAATGAGGGGTCTTATCGCAGTTTACAAGGTAAGGGTGTACAGCTTAGGCATCAGGATTTTTTTGTTTATTCTTAGTCTTGTAGGTTTTACAGGGTCTGTTTTTTCAAAGAAAGAACTTACCAACTACTTACTAGACAACATCTTGACAAATGGTCTTGAATCAACTGGAGGGAGGTCTTCTATATGGGGTTGAGGTTTGGATGGGGTTTGGGTTTCCAAGAATCCAGGGTTGGGGGCTCATGATGTGGTTTGTTGTTTTCTGGCCAGAACTTCACAGCTCAGATGCCAAATGAGGGTCTATGATTCGACCTACAGACAAAGTCCCTAAACCCTTAGACTGTTCATGTGCTGCGAAAAAGGCATCATGGTGGGCCTTTTCCGGTTTAGGGTTTAGGGTTTAGTGTTTAGGGTTTAGGGCCTAAACCCTAAACCCTAAACCCTAAACCCTAAACCCTAAACCCTAAACCCTAAACCCTAAACCCTAAACCCTAAACCCTAAACCCTAAACCAGGCTCTCAAGCCCGAAAGCCGGGCCCGGGCAGAGCCGAAACCACCAGAGGGCAGGCCCAAAGGTCGACAGGGGGGGGGTCAAAAACGGGCCTCCGAGCGATCGGGAAACTAGCGCTAGTTTCCCGATCTGGTTAGGGCCCCAAACTGCTTCCCGATCTCTCGGAGGTCACAAATGGGCCTCCGAGAGATCGGGAAGCAGTTTGGGGCCCCAACCAGATCGGGAAACTCGCGCTAGTTTCCCGATCGCTCGGAGGCCCGTTTTTGACCCCCCCCTGTCGACCTTTGGGCCTGCCCTCTGATATTTTCGGCTCTGCCCGGGCCCGGCTTTCGGAGCTTGAAAGCCTTAAGGTTTTTAGGTTTCCGTGGAGCCTCAAGGGTGGGGTTTCTTCGGTTTGGGGTTGTAGGGCTGTAGGGCTGTAGGGCTGTAGGGCTGTAGGGCTGTAGGGCTGTAGGGCTGTAGGGTTTAGGGTTCAGGGTTTAGGGTTTGGAGTTTAGGGTTTTTTTTGGCCACCCGCTTAGCTGACCTCTCGGCCACTCTGGGTTTAGGGTTTTTTTGCCACCCGACTAGCCACGGCAATGCGGGGTGCAAGGGTTTAGGGTTTGGGGTTTCGGGTTTAGGGTTGAGGGTTTAGGGATTAGGGTTTAGGGCTGTAAGGCTGTAGGGCTGTAGGGCTGTGGCGGCAGGCAGCACCTGTGGAGAAGCAGCTCGCCTGCGAGGCTTGGTTGCTTCCTGAAACCCTAGACCCTCAACCTTAAACAGACAAACCATGACCTAGACTGCTTTTCTGGACCCTCCCTTTTCATGGCACCGACTCAACCTCAATACTACCATGACAGGATGTTCTCCGGTTTGCTGGCGATCGATGAGAGTCTGCCCCCAGAGTGCAAGCCTGTAGGAAAGCAACATCGCACCCATTTCAAAAATGTCAAACGAAGAAGTATACATAATCCGAAGGTGTTTTGGAAGGGTGTGCGACAAGCAAATCATGCAACTGCACAATGCAGAGATTCCAGAACTGAGTCACAGCTTTCACAGCTTTGGCACCCAGCCTCTGCAGACCCAGTTCCTGCAGACATTCCAGACTCACAGACCTCAGAGGAAGAGCTTAATTCAGACTCTTTGTGCGGCAGCTTTTTAAGTCTAACTGAGATAGCAGAGCTGACTTATGGAAAGCCGCCAATTCAACAGAGACGATTGCATATGCAAATTCGTCGTAATTGCAGATGGTCACTAGAATGCATTAATTCTGAGTGGAAGCAGCATCCTGTTCATTCCATGCTTGAGGAACGGAGAAAAGTTCGCACAGAACAATTCCAAGCCCGCTGTCAGGCAGCCCAAAAACAAAGGCTGGCCAGAATCCAGGCCAAGAAGCATGCACGGGAGCTGCAACTGAAGCAGAATTGAAAACAAAAGTCCGCCTGCTTTGTCATTGCAGCTTTGCAAGTGAAAGGCATGTTTGCACGTGTCTGCATGAATCGGCAGCATGCCCAAGCCTTCCAAAAAGAAGCGAACTATCCGTGAGGTGGACCCCGACCCAGACCCATGGCTTTCTGAGCCTTGTGAGCCCCGGCAGTCAGCCCCACGGGAGGTAAGGGCTCGCCACGATGAGGATCCGTGGGCAGAAGTGGAGGCAGAAGACCCTGACCCATGGTCAGAGGCACAGCCCAGCAGACCTGCAGACCGGTCTGCTTTCACAAATGCTGTTCAAGCCAAACAGCAAGTCCACCTGAATGCAGCTGCAAAGCTGATGGCCAATGCAGGCAACAGAGACCCAAGCAAGGAAGCCTTCACGAAGTATGAGAAAGATGGCATGGATCCAGGGAAAGTCAAAGTGAGATGGGCCAAACCATGCCCACGTGGATGCAAACTTGAAGGCTGTGCATCAAAAGGCCTGAGCCTAGACGACTTGCAGGATGTTTGTTCCAACTTCTGGAAAATCACCAGTGAGGAACGGATGCATTTGATGCAGGCACAATTTGGGGACAACCCCAATCATGTCACAGAGTACTACATTGGCCACAAGCGTGTGTGCTTTGCAAATTTTTGTTGCAAACTGGGAACCAGTGAGCCGACACTGCGAAAGTGCATTCAAGGTGTGCCTGACATGCGCAAACAGCATGGCCCAGCTCCATCCCAGCAGGTTTCTGAGGCTAGCGTCAAAGTCGACCATTTCTTTCAGGAACTGCACCAATCAGCTGCAGAAGCATTGCCCGAAGACCCACGCTGTGCACTTTCATTGGATGGTGATCCTTGGAACCAAGCTACTAGGCATGGGTTTCAGCATTTTTAGAATGTTTTAACAGTCCATTTCCCGCCAGCTGCAGCCTAGTGTTTATGTGCATATCTGAGGATATGCATTACAAGCATAGCAGCCCTCCTGTGGCAGTCAGTTGCCAGATCAGCCATGCAGGCTTGCCAGTGCGATACATACAGCACTGCCAGCTCACAGACTTGTATTGGCAAATGCAAGCAGAATGGGATGTGTTGGCAGCCCATCTGCCCAGTGTTGGAGCGTGCCCTAGCTATAAGACTTTCTCCAGGCGGTACCAGAGCACATGGAAGAAGATGCTTGTGATGAGGAAATCGTCGCAACACAGCCAATGCCGTTTGTGCTTCGATCTTCAACAGGTCCTGGCGTCAAAGACTGCCCGATGGGCAGACAAGCTTCAGGCAGCAAGAATGTTGAAAAGTCATCAGCGAGAACAATACCACGACAGACTTCTTTATTGGAGTCTCCGCTTTGCATCCAAGGTGAACAATGATGTCCTTGTCATTATCATCGATGACATGGATCATTCGAAGTTCGCATGGCCTCGCTTCGGCTTCAGGAAGCAAACCCATGACCTGGACAATCTGACGAGGCCTACGGTGACCTTCACAGGAGCATTGGCCCACGGCTTCGGAACTTACCTGTACATGGCTGGACCCCAGGTGGCGGGTGGCTCAGACTACTTTCTCGAGATTTTGTGTCAGACGCTGGAGTTTGTATTCTTGCAGACCAGAAGACCGACAGACCAAGAGGACGACGAGGAGGAGCCCAGCAAGCCCAGAAAGCAATTGCCTTCGCATTTGGTCGTTGTCGCAGATAACACCGTCAAATCTGCAAAGAATCAGTTTGTCCTCAAATTCCTCGCATTGCTCGTGCAGCGACAGTTGTTCAAGAGTGCCACACTGTTTCATTTAATGGTTGGGCACACTCATGAAGACATCGACCAGCTGTTTGCCCTCATCACAGCCCTCCTCCAGCGAAAACAGACGTGGGAGACACCTGATGAAGTCTTGGAGCACTTGGCAAGCTGTGTCTTGTCTGAACCTCAGAGCCTGAACCCTTATCAACAATATAACAACTGAAAAATAAGGGATATCCGAAACTCTTCAGTCTTTTTCAAACTTAGAAACAGTAATAAACAACCTATCCGAAACTCCTCCTTCGTTGATTTTGGCAGACCTCTAGGTCTCAAGGAGCGCGTGCAGAGCCGTGGGGAGGAGTTGCAGGCACAGCACGTCTCAGCTGTGCGCAATTTCCAGGCCTGGATGGAGCCAATGGGTGCGAACCTGTCACATGCCTTCAAACCGCGCACACGGACCGTCAGACCAACAGACCAGAACCCTGAAGAAGAACCAGACGAAGTGCCACACTGCTACATCATGGTGAAAGGACATGGGTTGACCCAGAGGCAACAGGACATGATGAACGAGTCTGTGGACCCAGAAGGCGTGTACTGTCTCGTCAAAATGTACGTCCGTGACCTGAACCTGAACCAGCCTCCAATTTTGATCACAGATGCCCAACACTGCAGGCGTGTGGTAGGCAAAGTTCCGAATGCTGTGCATGCCATGAACCCACTGAGTGTAAAGCAGATCCAAATGTATACCAAACTGGTGGAATTGTGCCAGTACAAATTTGGGCTCCAGAGGGCTGCGTTGGCTTTTCAGAAACTTTTGCGTGACCGCACATATTCGGTAGTTTTGTTGTCTTGGCTGGAACAGCCTGAGAGACAGTTTCATCAAGATGATGCGGAAGGGCATGCGTACTTTCCACAGCTGCCCAAGAAATGTTGGCATCTTGTGGCAAAGCTCAAACGCTAGTTGATTTGGGCAGGAGGCTTGCCAAACATTGCTTCACGACAGTCTGCCAGACTGCATCTTTGCTTGACTGTTCATGCGGGCAGTGTGCCTGGATTTGACCTCTTGTCACACTTGACTGCAAATTGGATGCATGAATGCGACAGCTTTTTGATGGGCTCAGACGTTTTGTATGCAGGATTGCCAGCCCTGTAGCCTTGCAGCCTGGCATGCTTGCACATGCCATCGCCAAATTGTTCACTGATTTTGTCATTTGCGGGATGACCTTGACAAATATACTGGCTGATGTGAATCTAGCCCAGTTGCCTCGAGACTTGGATGTCCTCGAAGTTTTCACTGTCGCTAAGTCCGTGGCATCTGCAGCTGAGGAATCAGGTTATCGTTCTGACGTCTTCGACTACTTGAACGAAGACCAACACGATGTCACAGGCCCCAAGGGTTTCCAGCAAGCCTTGGCGTTGATCATGCGTGTCCGTGAAGGGGGCCTTTTGGTACTGGCACCTGAGTGCAAAACCTTCAGTTTCGCATGTATGGCAGTGACTGGCCGCAACAGATTCTGTTATGGTGGTGACACAACAAAGCCTTTCGTGCAGAAAGGTAATGCACTGGCACGAACTGCATGGATGTTCTTTCTCGTCGGGGTGGCTCGTGGACTACATGTTTGCCTGGAAAACCCATCTGGGTCGATGCTGTTTTCCTTCTTGCAGAGCTATGTGAACAGGCTGTCAGATGGGTTGCAAAGCTTGTGGCCTCTGACACCCAGACCGACAGACCTACAGTCTAGCAGTGCTGTTGACCCACAGTTGCAGGCTGCTTTCCTTGCAGACAGACCAGACATGAAGGTTTTTTACGTCGACCGGTGCGCATATGAGGACAAGAGGCCAACCTTCAAAAAAAAGTACAAGTTTCTCTGCAGCTCCCAATGGTTCTCAGCAGCTGTGCGAACTTGTTCTTGCTCCAATGGATTCCATGAGAAACTCATGACAGAGGTAGTGCGGGAAGATGGCACTGTCAGCAAGACTGGCACAAGCCACCTGACAAGCAGTGGGTTCTATCCCAAAGCTTTGGGTCTGGCAATTGTGCAGGCATGGAAGCAGCACTGTGAGGCACCTCCCGCAGCCCGTCAGACCAGGCAGCCACAGAGAGTGCAAAGCAAGGCACCTCCCGCAACCCTTCAGACCAGGCAGCCACAGAGAGTGCAAAGCAAGGCTGCTGCCCTTCGACAGAGACCCCAAGCAGATGATGCTGCAGACCCTTGGGGAGATTCTGAAGACCCTTGGTCCTCTGCTCCTGGGCCAAGCCGAAAAGCCCAGCAAACGATCAATCGGAAGCGTGCTGCAAGTCCTAGGCTCCAAGTTTTGACAGTTCCACGCAGGAAGACCACAGCACCTGAGGATGTAGACCCTTGGAGTTGAACAGGCTCTCAGAGGGGTTGCAAAGCTTGTGGCCTGTGACACAGACCAGCAGACCTGCAGTCTAGCAGTGCTGTTGACCCACAGTTGCAGGCTGCTTTCCTTGCAGACAGACCAGACAGTGATGATGCGATGTGTGGTATAAAAAGTCCTTGTTGTTGCAGGTGCACCTGCTTGCACTGACTTGCTGTGGGGATACGCATCCATTTCATGCACTGACTCAGTACAGAGCAGCCATAGAAACTCACTGTGATGCTAAAAGATTCTGCAGTTTTTGGCTTCATTCAGTGCTGCAGTCTAGGTTGGTGTCATGTTCGGTGGACAACTGAGTTCAGAGTTGCCTCTGAGCCCCGAGTCAGACAGACCAGAATCAGAAGATGGCAACCAAACACCACAGAAGCTGGAAAAGGCTGCAGAGTTGCTGCAGACGCAGTCTCACGAAGAGTTGCCGAGTCCTGCAGTGCACACACCAGGTCCGAAAGGGCCTGCAGCTCCACTGGGCCTGACTCCCAGCCCTCCTGGCAAGGCCTCTGGCGAGACCGCCAGCCCCAACATGTTGGTGTCACCAAAGCGCTTGGATTTGCCTGCCCCAGGTAAGGTTACCTTGCAAGGACAACTCACAGAGTCCGAGCAACATGCTTTGACAAAGGCAGGTTGTCACAGCTCTACAGCCTTGCAGACCACGGCTTCAGACTCAGCAAACAATGGCTCAGCTGAAGGCTTCCACTTGGACACATCACGGGCAGCGAAGAAACAGGCCAAGGCAAAGGCAAATGCCAAGGCGAAAGCCATGAAACGGCCAGCTGCAGTTAGCAATGCCGGCAAGAAGAAAGCAGCAAGAACGGATGAACCCTCTGCTTCAGAGGTCGCCAAGGACCATGAAATCAGCCACATGACCCCTTAACTTTCTTAGTTTCTGAGCCTTCACCATTCGAACTAACTGATTCTGATTTTGTACACAGGAGCCTCTTGACCAGAATGACGATGAGAAGATTCCGGCAATGCAGAAGGACATCTTTGCCAGTGAAGTTGAAGAAGAGGGCACCAATCCTGACGAGATTGCTGAGAGCATTGCAACGCAGCCTTATGCTGCAGCGGATGAGATGGAGAAGGATCACAGGGATGAGGTGAAGTCTGACTTGGAGGGACTGGAACACGAGGAGGTGAAGTCTGACGCTGAGACATTGGCGTTGGAGGGAGTGGAGCGCCTTTCTGATTTGGCGGATGGATTGGAGCAGCTTCCTGACTTGGACTTGCTGAGCCTGGACGAGAATGTTGAGGAGGAACAGCCCGACAGCCTGGAAGCCCAATTCCTCGAGCATCCCGAGTGGCCCAAACGCAAGACCTTTGCAGGTCGTGCGGACCTTACAAGTGAGCCTGCCAAAACGTTGTTCCTGGCCAAGCGCAGAGCATTCTACAGCAACTTCCCTTCCAAGTGTTGGACCAATGCCAATGAGAGGATGTGGTACAAAATGTGTGGCAAGTTGGAGCGCCCAATGCCGGAGCTTGTGGAGGAGTTTCAGCAGCACATACTGAATCAGCATTAGGTCACTTGCCTGCAGCCCTGCAGCCCTGCAGTGTGGCACTGTGAAACAGTCCCAGGTGTTGAACTCCCAGGTTTGCTCGACCTGTCGAGTGTTTAAGTTTTGATAAGATGGCTGGGCAGAGCAGGAAAAGAGGTGCTCATTGATAGACTGTTGGCAGCACCCACAGTGAAGCACAATGTCATCAGCTGTTTGTCAATCGTGCTTGTTGATTTATTGCACTTGCCAGGATTTTGCTTCAATTTTCAGCAGGGAAGTAGCTCAGCCTTGCAGCCCTCCAGACCCGTTTGACTCATGGCTTTCCTGGGGTCTGATGGGCAGGTCTTGCACCAGGCCACCTTGCAGAAGATTTTCAGTGACATCATGACTGTCTTGCGCGAAGACATGGATGTCCGAGATGCTGAGGGCAAGCCCAGGTTCGCAGATGTGTGTGAGTACTTGGCAGCACAATTGGAAAGCCCGCTGCAGCGGACCCAACTCAGCCAGCAGGTGCAGGACCTGGAGAATGTGTGCCGAACCATCCTTGGCCTGCCAGCGCAAAGCTTTTGCGACACTTGCCCAGACGTTGCAGCCCTACAGCCCTTTGAGAGGCTGCACTTGAAGGTGTGGCAGCTGGGGGCTCACGAACCATACCACGTAAAGGGTGCCCCAGCCCTTCACGCAGTGCGGGATAACCTCCACAAGATGGTCATGGGCTATGGGAGTGAGACAGAGAAGTACCCCCTTGAGGTCTTGTTTGCGTGGCCTGGACCATGCCATGATGCAGCCAAATGCACAGCTGGAACAGCCCTACAGCCCTACAGTGTTGGAATCACCACTGGCTCGGCAGTGACAATGAGCTCCCATTTGTTGTGTTTGGCATTGTTGAAGCTGGGTTTCCTCGATGCCTCTACAACCACAACAGCTGGACGGCAGACTACACTGCCACTGGAGCCCGAGGTGCTGAAGAACCTGGCCCAGAGAACTTTGAAGTGCATCTGTTTCTGGGTAGCATTTATTGAGCTTGGTAAGTTTGTCAGCCAGGTGTGCAATTGCGAGGTTGTGTTGCTGTTTTAGTTTCAAAACCAAGGCCCAACTGTGACAAGCAAGCCCTGCAACAACATGGAGGCCCAGACCATGGAAAGCCTTCGTGTCAAGACTGATGCAGTGGCCAGAATCAGACCAACAGTGATCAACATGCACTACATGTGCTCTGCTCAGTTAATCATATTCAGACTGAGACAAATCCGATGGAGCATTTTCAGTTTCATTCACACATTCTGTCACTCTGAGGTTCGACCGCATCGTCGCACAGAAGCTGAGTGCGGGCTCGAGGAAACTCCGGCAGGACTTGTTTGCTGAAAGCATCAACAGGCACAACCGCGCGGCGACAGGCAAGTCACGCATCACAGCTGATGAGGTCGCAGCCCTTCAGGTTTACGACACAGCCCCCCCCGAGTTTCGGAGGGCACTCAAGCTCATATGGGGGACCGAAATCCCAGCCAACACTGCAGTGCCACTGCATTCCTTCTCTGTGGGATTCTGGACACCGAAGAAGTCCCTGTCGAATCGAATCTCAGCCCAAACCAACCCACTTTGGCACCAGATCGCGACGCACTCATGGCCCAAAATGATGGAGGTTCTCAAGAGGATGGAAGGGAAATGGAACTTCAAGTGTGTCTCATTTGAGAATATACGTGGCAATGTTTTCGTTTGATGGTAGCCTGAAGCCCCATACTCAGTACACCCCTAACCCCACAGAAAACCTCCAGATTGAAGCCCTGTTCAGACGAGGTGACGAGTTCACAAAGAAGGGGCAGGTGCCGCCAATCAACTCCAACTTCCATTCCCAGATGTTCAGGGATTCAGGCAAGGAGGCTGAGGTGACGATGATGGCGAGTGTGCTTGTCCACTTTGCAACAGACCTACAGACCAAACTTGGGAAGGACACCTACAACAAGGTGATTGCAACGTGGCGCACAGGCATGCTGGACAGCAAGCTTTTGCCTGAAGTCCAGGCAATGCGCCCAGACTTCAAGCTTTCCGATTTGGGGTTTCTGTTCCTGACTGACAGTGAGGAAGGCAAGTTGCCGGACACGTTTGAGCAAGACGAAGAAACACAAGCACAGATCCACAGACTTGCAGCCCTAGTGCGTCGCTTGAAGCACGAACAGGACACCATGCGTGCGCACAAGGCTGTTGCTCTTCGGTGTCAGACACAGCAGCTTGCGTCGGAGGGCGAGTTCCAGCGAAGCCTGTCACAGGCTGTGGATGAAGCTTGGCAGGACCATTCGGTCTTCTTTCAGTTCCATGAGTGCAAGTTGCAGACTCTCCAGGCCATCAGCACCTCAGCCCATGCACAGATTGCAGCCCGACAGCTCAAGGAGACAAAGGATGTCCCAATCCTCAGCATCCTGAACCTGCCAATGCTTGGCAGCACCTGTTCGTCATATGTGGACAAGCTCACAGACCATGTCGCCACAGAGCTGACAGGCATGGCCAGCCGTATGATGTACATCGTCATCCCTCCGAACCAGCCTGAGCTTGGGTCTGGCAAGCTGACCAAGTTGGCTCGTGAGAAGAATGTGCTTCAGCACCAGGAGAAGTGGAAGACAGCCCTTGAAACCAACAAGACGATTTCTCTTCATCACGCCCGCGCTGTTTACGACCAGCAAAGCATGTACTCAGACGACCGTGCACTTGGGTTCGAGATTTGGCTCGTTGTCGCAGAGAGTGTGGAAGCAGACCTACAGACCCAGAATGTCTTCGGCAGCTCTGTTCTCATGAAGAGGAAGGCTCTACCTGGTCTTGTAGAAGTGCTTCATCGTTCCAGCATGGCGAACTTCACAAAGCCCCACACTTTTGCTGAAGCACGAGACACACAGAGGGATCTAGATGTCGAGCGAAAGCAGCATTTCAGTGGGCAGGCCTTCTTGTCACAGTTGATCTCCACAGCCCTGCAGACCAGCAGACTTGGAGCCAAGAACACCGTGATGATCAGGGATGAGACAATGTATGATGCTGAGCTTGCCCGAGCTGTCATGAGCATCAACAGCAAGGCAGCTGGGATGCCGCAGCTCGCCTACATTGGTATGTCTTGGGCGTCTTCAAGCAAGCAGACCATCACGGAGAATGTGAAGTCCAGCCTCGTAGAAGTGATGAAGGGTGCGATTTCGCGCAATGAGTACGCCTTGGCAAAGATTCCTGCTGCACTTCTGACCAGCAATGCCCAGAAGACGAAAACAGTTGTGCCTGCCCTGGACTTGTCTCAGTTCACTGTGACTGCACCCCAGACCAACTTGGAACTTCGATGGCTTCAGTCGACATTGGATGAGGGTGAGCTGTGTGGTTCAGTGATGCTCCCTACCAGTGAGGTGTGGGGTGGCTTGGGCTGGAAGGACATCAAGAAAAAGCACGATGATGAGTTCAATCCGACAGGTATGCTGGCCCGAAAGCGTGCAGCTGACAGTCCTGCAGACTCGCTGCTCGGAACCAATTTGTTAAATTTGTTTGTCGTTTGTTTGACAACCTTGTTTGTGATTGAAATGTCCTAGCATGACTGACACCTAGGCAGACCGACAGACCGAAAGCCCAGCTGACCAGTGACATGTCGATGGATAATGTCAAGGACATGGGTCGTTGGCAACCCCGCGGAGTTTCGGGCTACGAGTTCTTCGTGAACAAGCAGGGTGACCTCTACGTGCATGGCCTTGTGGACAGTGAGCTCCCAGATGCACTGTTCCCATTGTATGGCTTCTTCAAGACTGGAGCTGAGGCAGCAAACCTTCTCGAGTCAGAGAACCCATTGGTTGTGAAGTACAGTCTGTCCGCAGAGTCAGAGATCCTTGTGCAGGCTAAAGCTGGTAGCAACTTGCCCCCATGCCTCTCAGGCTTTCAGACCTGCAGAGCTCCGGTTGCTGAGGTGTTGCAGGCCATGACTGGAGCAGGAATCGCAAACCCAAGCATCCACCTCCACAAGGTGGACCTGGTGTCTCAGGGTGCTGAGATGAAGTGGCAGGTGACCACCACTGAGAAGGCATGCCTGAAGGCTTCTGTTGAGGAGCCGAGTGAGAATGCTGGCACATTCCCACCGACTGAGATGAGCCGCTTGTCTGTGTATGTCGACCTGTCAAAGTTGAGCAAGATTTTCTTCGTCTTCAAGTTGGAGTATGATCCTGAGGCCAACAAATTCAAAGGTATGCTCCCATGGGGGTGCTTAAAGCAGCCCTCGAGACTGGGCAAAGATGTGGTTTCCAAGCTGTGAGCGCCATACTGGCAGCCCAGCAGCCCAGCCAGCCTGCAGCTTCGAACATATTCCGTGCTGCAATTTTGATGGTGTAAGCGCTGGTCATCAGGTCTGATGTGAGAACAGTCTGATGTGAGAACTGTCTGTCGATGCTCAGTGCGCAAAAAGGAGCCTTGCAACACAGAGCATCACTTGCAGTGCATCATGGAGCATCACATTTCAGCACATTGCAGGGTGTCTCATGTTCTGCAGTTTCCGAGACACCTGCCCATTACAAGATAATTTCACTAGCACTCTAAACCGGCTGAGGCCTGCTGCCTGGCCAGTGGCCAGTGGCTGAGAACTCATGTGCTCAGGGCTAGGGTTTAGTGGTTAGGTTTAGGGCTCCGTTGTTACCCAGCAAGAATGCAGGCCTTCAGCTGAGCAGCCCAGACCCCAAACCCTGAATGTACTAAACCTTATATCTGCAGTCCTTCCACTTCGAGGCTCTGACCAGATCTTCATTGGTGAGCCTACCAGGCCATGAGAAACAGCATTCTTGCAACAAAGGTGGTGTGCTGCATTGTTTCATTGCATTCTTCTTCTGCTAAGTTTTGCCAGCTCGAATCGTCTTTAGTCTTGTCTTGGCCTGGGTCTGAGCCATGCCATTGGGAGCGAAAACACAGATGACGATTCAGTTCCTCACATCCATCGCTGATGAGCGGGTATGCTTGGTGTGCTACAACTGGTTTTGGCAGGGCTACTTGGAGAAAAAAGACATTGGTCATCTCGAAGCAGTCCATTCTGAACACTGCCAATGTGACCACCTAGCGTTTTTGGCTTGGCAATCCAAGCAGAGTGGCTCTACTACTCTAATCGCAGTCTTTTCATGTTGCTTCTTTGTAAAACCAATTAGATTCTCCACAGACTTACTTGCCTCAAAGCCCAGGTGTGGAACATCAACGTGCTGGTCAGGACCTTCAACAAAAGTCAGAGCCCCAGCCCAAAACACTCCACACTCTGAGCCTCGAGCCAAAGTGAGTCACGCTTATCACCAGAACAGAGCTGGCCTTGCCACCATTGGTGGATTCCGACGCAGCCCAGTAGGGGTAATAACCTGGGCCCATGTGGATACTCAAGCTCAATGACGGTGTCACAGTGTAGCAGACTCTCAGCCCTGCAGCCTCAGGTGATTCAAGATTAATGATCTATCCTAAGAGAAGGAAAGTTAGGGCTGAACCATTTCCTTTTCTCTTATATAGAACCTCCCAACACTTGAGTCCTAAAGGCAAGGGTGGCTACCCCTGCAGAGGTCAGGGTGTGGCAGACTTGCAGCCCTGCAAACACCACGAGCTTGGAAAAGGTACGCTGCGCTGATGGCCATGTTACTGTTGCCTTGAATCGACTAGTGCTCAATGGTGTGGCATCTCGAAACTCCTAACACCCCAAAAACCTGCTTGTGACTTGCCCCTGCCTGGATCAGACAATAGACAGATGCAACTGTGCAGTCAGCAGGATGTATATTTTTCGGATAACAGTAGTAGGGGAAACAAATCACCACCTTCCAGGGTTGAAGCCCTGCAGCCCTGCAGCCCTGTAGCCCTGCAGCCCTGCAGCCCTGCAGCCCTGCAGCCCTGAGCCCATGGCTGGATGGCTATGCAAGAACTGCCACAAGGCCAAGACATACAGGCGCTTGACAAGGCTATGCGCAGACTGCGACACTCGTCATGGCTTGAGGGGTTTTCACAACAAGAAGATTGTTCCTGCTAGACGTGTGTTTGGCAAAACAAATCTGAACAAGGCTATGATTGCCAAGAAGAAGCCCAAGCGGAAGTCTGAGCATGACACCTCTACTGCAGTGGCAGCAGCATCAGGAAGAGCTCTTGACCTGCGGACAGCTCTGGAGATGGAGTTCCCACGTCTGAAGAGCCTGTGTGATCTAGCAGAATGTCATGGGGTGCTAGCACAGGCTCACTTGATTGTCAGAGTGGTGGACAAATCTGGGCAAACTCTTCCGGAGGCCACACCAACGGTTGTGAAGGCACTCCTCTATTGCGCATTGGGTTTGTGCGCATTCTTTACAGATGAGGACCAAACAGAGATCAGGAAGAAGTTGCGAGATTCCTTCCAGGCTTTGGACATGGTGGCTGTCCGAAAGGCCGAGTGTGTTTGGCACAACTTGCTGGGTGCCTGTAAGTCTGGCTTCCTGTGGAAGTAGGGCAGCTGACCATTGAGGAGTATGACGAAAAAAGGAGTGGAACAGGGACAATTATCAGGGGTTCCCTAGTGTTTTTCATGAATGTTACCCCAGAGCCATGAGGCTCTTCGTGATGCTAAGCTACAACCCCAAACCCTATACCCTAAGCCCTCAACCCTAGAACAAATGCCAGGCCTCAACCTTTGCCAAGTCACAGCTGGTTGTGATACATCTCTATACTGCTCTGATTCAGGGAAAGGCAAGTAGAAACCACCACAAGACATTGTAATGTGTTCGGCTACAGCCAGGTGTCGACTTTGAGCCTGCCCGGGGCCAAGTTCAAAGATGGGGCTGCATCCACACAGACCATAAAGACATGCAGTAAGAGGAATGCTGAGAGTAGGGCCTGACAAATGCCAAGATGTCATGCTGAGAAATGGGGGGGGGTCACAATTTTGTAAAAGTTGCAAGCTGGCAAAGCCAAGTCACAACTGGTTGTGTCTTGGCTTTTCCTATACAAACATGTACATGATTGCATCTATCTGCTGTTTTCTTTGAGAAAAGACAAGTCACAACCGGTTGCGTCTTGGCTTTTCCTATACAAACATGTACACAATCGTCCAACTGAACTGTAGAAAATGTGCAAGAACTGGCCAAATGCATTGTATATGCTGTTTTCTATGGGAACATCCAAGTCGCAACCAGTTGCGTCTTGGCTTTTCCTATGCAAACATGCACATGAGCTGTCCAATTGCATCTATCTGATGTTTTCTATAGGAAAAGCTAATAGTCGCAACCAGTTGTGTCTTGGCTTTACCTACTATACAAACATGTACATGATCTGTCCAATTGCATCTATCTGCTGTTTTCTATAAGAAAAGCCAAGACGCAACCGGTTGCGACTTGGCTTTCCCTACAGAAATTGTGCATGACCTGGCCATTTGTGTGTCTCTATGCTGGGTTCTATGGGAAATGTCAAGTCGCAACCAGTTGTGTCTTGGCTTTCCCAATACAAAGATGTTGAGGACCAAGTCCCAACTGGTTGTGTCGTGGCTTTTCCCGAAGATAACTTTGATCTGAGGCCTCCATGCTGCTGGAGATCAGAAAAGGCCACTTGTACCTCAGGCATTGGTGACTAGCATGGTGTGTCTTGCATTTCTGATTGCTTGCATGTCTCGACAGCACTCACTGATTTGACTTCTGCTAGGCTGCAGGTCTGTACAGCACCTGACTGATGTCTCAGGGCGGCACTTCCACATTCCTGCTTTGCTCTGTCCCAGAGCTTGTCTTGTTACTCTGTCCCAGAGTTGTTCATGATGCGCTCTGTCCCAGAGCTTCTTTGGTTCTACTCTGTCCCAGAGTTTTTCATGTTGTGCTCTGTCCCAGAGCTTTCATACTGAGTGAGCTCTGTCCCAGAGCATTTGATGGATGTGTTAGCTCCTGACAGGTCGCCTTGGGGGTTTAGGGTCTAGGGTTTGAGGGTTCAGAGTCAGGGCTGCAAGGTGTGGTTGAGGGTACAGGGGTTGAGGCTTAGGGCTTAGGGGCGTCAAACGAAAGAGGCAGAACCACCTATTACTACATCATTGTTGTACTGCGTTTTTTCGACCGACACGAAAAAGAATAATCCCTGTGTGTGTGTGTGTGCAATCAACAATTTTGCCGTCCTGCCCAAAACATTAAAAACACACATGGCTCAAAGAATCATGGAAGCTCGGAACTCGCATTTTAAAGCTTAATATCAAGAAAACGTGTTCTCTCTCGCATCTATCAGCAATTGCTCTGAACAGTGCTGGCCTCCCCTATGTGGGGCTTGCAGAAGGCCTGTCAGGCCCTCTTTCAGGGTTTCCATAGATGGCCATTTAAACCCAGAATCCCAAATAGACCCTCTCCTGATGCTCCGGTCCGCCATTTCATGCACTGGCACGGCACAGAGAGATTCCCAAACAGTGGTGCGTTGGGGGTCTTTCTTGTTCACAAACCCCTAAATCTTAACCCAAAAGCACCCAAAATGTTGAATTTTAGTTGCCCAAGGCCAGAATTTAGGTTATCACGGCCAGGGTTTATGTCAAGACCTGAAGCATTGCACGCGTCGATGGAGCACGTGCAAAGGTGACCTGGTGCTTCCTACGGCCACAACCTGGCCCTGCTAGTTCACTTCGCTCTGTCTGCCTAGTCTCATCAGTGCCTTTGCTGTGGGCAATGCGCAAGGTCTGCCTCAAGATCTACATTCTAGACTAGATGTAGCTGCTGAAATGAATGCTGCTCAGTTGTGACAACTTCAGTCAGCGTTTGCTGCAACAGGTTTCCGCTTACAAACCACAGATTGGCTGTGCCTTCCTTGTACTGAGTACCGCTCATGCGCCAACGGGCTCCAAGACACTCAAAACACTGAGTGCCCAACCACACATTGCGGCAAAAAGGGAAGGAAGAACAGCTGAAATGTTCTCGAACCCGAACCTTCAAGTCTGAACAGGAGCACTGCATGTCACAAAAAATTTGCTGATAGCAGTAGCTCCTGAGGTTGACGCACTTGCATGGGAAACTGACGGACTCAAAGTCTGAGTGCAGCACTCTCGAAGTGGAGCATTGCAGTCTAATCCCTGCTGCATCAGCATTTCATTTCTGAGAACAATCGCAATTCGCAATCGCTTGCAGATCAGCAGCGTTGCACATCTACGTAGTGCAAGGATCCTGCCTGTAGCAAAGCTTCGCTGACAACATTGTTCCTGCATCATTGGAGTGGATGGACTCTAGCTGCCAGCTTTTTGTTTCGAGCCATGTGCTCCAGGAGAGGGGAAAAACATTGATTGACACGCATGGGGAATGCACGGAGACCGGCAGCTTGACATACACCAAATGTCCTGAGGGAGATTGAGTGCGTGAACTTCGGAACGCCTGTCCACGTCCATGAGAATCATGAGACATATTGAGACATTCTCACAACTTTCTCAATCGAGGTACTTGCCTTCAGCGTGCGTGGACAGATGCGGTCCCAGGCGAGCCTGCTGCGCCTTGACCTCAGTGTATCAAATCGCACATGCAGTCTGGCCTAATGAGCAGGAAATGCTGGCAATCACAAGCTTGGGATGGAGAGCATTCGGGCCATGTCTTTGAGGCATCCTCGCTGCCAATCAGAAAAAGAGGTGAAACGACTTTTCGTATGTCTGCATGTCCACATTAAGAAACACTCTGCGAGAACTGAACAAGCTTGCTTTCCATACCCTGAAAGTTAGTCAAAGCATGTCTTTCTGATTTGCCGATTCAGGAGAGCCAGGAGATTCCCTCCACCTGGCTGAGATCCTTGCCTGCCACCGAACTTTCCGAGTTGCAGAAGGTTCTGGAAGTGAAGTTACACAGCGCTTACAAAGCTTAGCGGGATGAGTTGCCGACTACGTGCGGACGGCCTGGCTCTTTCATGCCCACAACAGCTGTGAATGGATCCGTTGAAAGCCAGCCAGTCGGAGGCGCCGAAGTGTTGCCGCCTCGGTGCCCTATGCTCGGTCTGTGTTCACACTCCTACATCCAACGGATGGGCACAAAGACTGTACATATCCATCCCTGCGGACAACAATGCCGATGTGCAATCTTCTCTGTGTTCCATGCTCAAATCGGCACGACATCTGAGCCGAGCACCCAAACGCACGCCGTTCGCTACCCGAACATCCTGGAAGCCTGCCTCACTGAAGTAGCTCACCACAAGGTCGGCAAGGCCCCGCATCGTCTTCTGCGAACGCCAGACTTCGACCGCCTTCGTAAAAAACATTCGGTTCGAGAAGCTGACAATGAATATCCCACCAGGGCGAAGAACTCTGCGTACTTCCTTTAATAATTGAACCGGGTTCTGCATATACTGTATCGAAACTGCCATGAGGACTGCGTCAAAAGTCTCGTCTGCAAGTTCTGGCAGAGTCGGATCGTTGTTGAAATTTCGGGTAAATCTTTCCTTTGCTCGGGTGTTGGCAAGGAGCTCAAGCTGGTTCATGCCATGCACTGTCAGCGTATAATTGACCTCCGTGGGCAGGTGAGAATCATGCTGAGAGCACAGATCTAGGACTTGTCCCTCGGCCGGGATGAGCAATCGGTAGAGCTGTCTTAGCTGTGCTCGGAACTCGTCATCGACATGGTATACACCGATGCGCGGGATCAAGTAGAACAGTTCATCTGGAGTGCCATCCTGAAGAACTGCAGAACACACGCTTATACGCGCTTCCCACGGCACGACCTTGCACGACGTTTCATGACGCTTTCAGCACTGCCCTGGAGACGATACACTACCACTATGACATTTGACTGCTGTCAAATTTTCAACCGGACTTTAACGAAGTTTCGTGGGGGCAGAGTAAGTTCTGTCTGTTCAAGAGCTTCGACCACCGAGCATAACATCAGAACTCTCGCAAACAGCGCAACAAAGCTTTCAGCAGGATGCCGCGATGCCAGTCTTTCATGGACCACTACACTGGCATACACTGGCTATATCTGGCTATGACATGTATGTTTTTAGTCATGATGGCACGATGCTCGATCCGCATTTGGTCTCCAAGCATCCAGCTTGTATGTGTCGCGTTCCGTCAACGCCCTTCTTCTGCAGCGCGAACTGGTTCTGAGCCTTGATGTCTGTCGCAAAGCAGAGGTGAGTGCCACTGCCACTGCGCCTGCGGCACAGAAAAGCAAAGGGAAAGGCAAAATCGAGCGGCAAAGATTGGCAAAGTGCAGTTGACATGATGCATCTTGTACGGTTCCTGGCAGATGTAAGAAAGCAGAACCGAGCAAAACATCTGCCTTGTGAGCAAAGAGCCAGAAACTGGCGAGCACGGCTTGGCAGCGGAAAGCGATATCTTGCATGGCAGCTTGTCAACTGGGCGATTCACTGCATGCCGTTCACAGTGAAGTCCCGCAAGACGCAAATGTGCAAAAACAAAGATACGATGCTCAGAGAGATGCACAAAAGCACAATGCCATGCGATGTCGGTACCAGGGAAGTCCATACACGAATCACAGGGTGGCAGGCGTGGGCGCGCACTTCCGGACACACATGCCATGAAAAGCAACTACAACCTGAAGATGACTGAAGAGGACTGAAGCTAAAGAAGGACCTCGCTAGGGCCCAAGATAAGCTGCCGAGGCACCTTTGGACCCACTCTTTGGGAAGGTCTTGGGCCGGCTGTGCCAATGGCTGTGCCAGCCAGCTGCATGTTCAACAACTCGACACCGTCAGCTGACGGCCCGAAAAGATTGCATTAAAGAGTCGCGGTTCTCGAGCTGGGAATTTTGCGGCAATCCACTGAAACTTGCAGGCATGCCTTCCGTGCCACTTACAGGAGAAAAGGCACAGTAGATGCGAGGCTGCAGCTGTCTCTGCACGTCTGTCAGAAAAGTTCAGATCGATGAGAAGGGGAGTTCGACCTTGTCTCACCCAGACCAAAAGAAAACAAACAATTCGAAAGTCACAGTTAACCTCAGCGGTCTCAGGGTCAGGGAGAGTTGCTCACACCTTTGAGGCTGAAATGCTTGGGATCTGTCTCAAGATCCGTAGAACGTCACAAAAGGCATCAACATCGGCTTCAGCTTGAAGACTTGCCTTCAGCCTGAATAGGAACAAGCCAAGCGAGTACATCCGAACCAGCACACGATTGGCACACCGTTGCCTCAAATCGCCACTCAACTAAACACCCCAACACCAGAGCTCTGGGATCCAAACAAAGCTTCTCCACTTCCACCACCATCTGTTAATTCAGTGGCCACACCTGTCTGGATTAACGTAGCTCACACAAAGGATCTCGGTTCGCAGACTCTGAGGCTGCCTTCCAAACATTGCATCAAGAGAAGGCAGGTTAGCTCTGGCCTGGCGAGCACACATGGACTGTAGCAGAAGTAGGCTCGCACAGGAAGCTTGTTGCCAACACATGCCGAGCATGACGACTCTCTCATGTTCGGCCCGCCCAGCGCCAAGTCATTGAACTGCTCTAAGTGAGGGAGGGCCTGAGCTGCGCAACCAATATGGCGTTTGGTGACGGAAAGTTTGCTTGCTTGCTCGTGGTTTCTGTTGCGGCTTTGCCCACGGCCCCAAATCCCGACAGGCACAAGTAACAGGTTCGATCGAATCTCGGAATCTCGAAGGCGCAACTTGCTTGGGTTTTATGGCCACGGTTTCGATTGCGGAAACTTCAAATCGGCCCTGTGTCATCGCGTGAAACATAGGAAACTTGGACACGCTGCCTTTGCGCACAACAAGGTACCACGGACCACTCCCACCATGGGTGCCATGACGAAGATGACTTGCAGTGGCAATCTTGAAGCCGTGGCTTGGAGTCATTGCATGTGTTGTGGTGCCAGAACAAAATGCAGGACGGCATTCAGCCGGATTTCTGAACCACGCAATCTTGCATGTCCTATGGTCTTCTTTAAGGCATCTAAGGAATTCTATGATAATCTTGCGTTTGGGGGTTAGAGCTCCCAGCGAAAGGACTCCAAGCAACAGGCATCTGGGACAAACAGGCCACAGGTGCCACTACAATACGGTAGGGCCGGTAGGGCAAACAAAACATGGGTGTTGGAGTATGTTGGAGTGGCCTTTCTGGTCCCTGGAGACCCTGCGCAGCCACTCTCTTGGCAACTCCCACCACCCTACCCAAGCTTCACTTAGCAACAAGCACACCAGCACAGACAACACCGATGGTATTTACGAGCCTGTATACAATCAAGGCAAAAAGAGCTTCAGGGGTCGTCCAGCAAGCCTACTTGCACCAAGCTCACTTACGCTGTGGGTTCAAGGTTTCGGGTTCCCGGGCCGGCTGTCCGATGTCTATTCCTCGAACGTCGCCTTCGGCGTCTTCAACCCGACCGTGCAGACTGGAAACTCCGAGGTGCACCACTTGCAGCGCCGAAATACACGGCTGCCGAGTTGGCGCGCGCGCAAGCATTCTGGCGCTAGTGTATCCAAATAGGGTTTCAACCAATGAATGCAATGGAAAGCACTGGAAAACAATGGAAAGAGACGGCCGTCTGGATGCGGTCTTGCCTTCTTACTTGTACCTCCCTCAACGCTTGTCGTCGGCGCAGGAGGGCCGCTACCTTTGTTTGGAAAGTCGCCTGACGAATGCAAGATGTATCAGCATTTCACCGAGTATTTTCCAAGGCAAAAGGTATGTTGTTAACTGTTAATGGCTGCATGCGGAGCGGATTTTAACCGAATCTCTCTTTTTGCAGTAGCGTTCTGAAATGTTCTGAAATGTTCCAGTGTCCTCTGAAAGAGTTTGGTGAGAGGGGTCCATGTTCTAGGGGCCATGCCCCACATGTCACGAGTTTGGACTGTGAAGGGCAAAGGGGGGGATTCCGGCAAGCTATCTTCCCATCTTGCCCAGCATGGGCGGCACAGACCCTCCCTCTTCAATCGAAGACATCTGAGCATCACACCGACAGCAGGCCATGGAGAGCTTGCCAGTGGATCCTCGAATTGCCAGAAACGTCACGCGAATGGAGCGTAAACAAGAAACACATGAGAATGTTCGGCAAGAGTCCTCTTACGCTGTAGCCTGTCGTCAACAAGCCAGCGAGGCCTCTCAATCACACACAGACACACGGCGCACTGGCTTGGAAATGATCATTGTCTCAGCTTGCTGCGCGCTGCCAACAGAAGTCCATTCAGGCGGCAGTTGCGAATCCTTCAGGACAGCCTTGGGGTCGGCGTGCGAGTGGCACCACGTTGCTTGCACAAGTACTCTACTGGGCCACTTGCTGAAGCGAAACCCAATATTTTCAAGCTGGCCAAGGACGTGCAGACTGTTAAGACCTGCGTCGGAAAGCTGCAGACACAGCTTATGTAGAGCATGCAAATGCATGCAACATCTGGCAACATGCGCGAACTCTTCCATGCACCCGAAGAAGCTCCATCGACCGCAGGCCATACCCTAGAGGTAGTGCAATCGATACCTGGCAGGTGCCGGACTTACGCACCACGTGTTTCTGCTCTCAACGAAACGCAAACGCAGGTGCACCTGACGAAGCATGTGCCCGGCACTGTGCATCAGACCCAGACTCGCTGGAATCAGATCCGGACTTGCGCCTGAGTTCCCCCATGCAAGCATATACAAGTGCACACCAAATCCGCCGAGGCCTCCGTGGGCATTTTTTCAATGTTTTTCTGTCCGGAATCCCTTCCCAAGCCCACCCCCCGAACCCACCCCTTTTGGAGCGCATCTACGCAACTCTTCCTGGGCCCAAGAAGACCTACATAACCCCAGGCATCCCCAAGCCCGGAACCCCAAACAGCAGAAGCCCGCCTCACCCCACCACCCACCCCGCCCGCTCCTCCCCCGCTGACCGTATTGGCCTCCTCCCTTATCCCTTGGTGCGTACCCATCCGAATCCCCCCTTAAGTGTGCAGATATCCAACAGCCCTTCTCCCCCACTGACCCTTCCTCCCTTACATGTCCTTTGTTTGCTGTACTTTCGACAAAAAAACTCAGCCTCCTTGCCTTCGCCGCACCTTTCCCTTCCTCTTCACCCTACCGCCCCACGCTTTAGGCAAGGTAACCCCGTTCCTCCCTCCCCTACATCCTCTTCCCTCCCCTTCCACTTCCGTCTTCAAGTGCCCCCACTTCGTGGATTTCCTTCCTTCCCCTCCGTCTGGCCACCCTATGGACCTCATGTTCGCATTCAACCTTGATGGTGCGTGAGGCAAGCCTCGCAGCCTCCCACCCTTTCCGACCCCCCACTACTCCCACAGTGTCGGCAGGCTCCAGCCGAGGCGGGTCGCGCAGCATTAAGGTGACGCCAATTCGGCTCTACATGAGGGGTCCTTGCCTTGGCACGCTTCTCTTGGATACTCCACTTTCGGTTTGGCACTGGGCCCCAAGGCAAACCTGCCACAGGGGCGTCAGCATGTGTAGCCGGCAGCACCATTTCTTTCTGCGTGTCACACATTGGGTTACAGTGACGTCTCAATGGTGTGCATCCAGAACTTGCCCTTCCTCATCAAGTTTTCTCTCCTTCTCTTATGCACACTTCATGGGCCCCGAAGAACCCTGCTCTCTCTCTCGTCTGTCTCAAAGTCGCTGTCTCAGTCTGTCTTCTTCCGGCAGGTGTGAGGGGGTCGGGGCTGACACCCCAGTCGCGCCAGACATGGGTGGTCTTGGGGGTACCACGGTACGATTGGTGGCTTCTCGAGTCGGCATGGGGGATGACCGGTCAGCACTCTCACACTCTCTTACGAGCCACCGTCCTATTTGCGACAAGACGCGACCTGATCATCGCAACATACCGCCCCTTGACAGTCAGCCCCTCAGAGCTAGGTTCACGACTTTTCAACTCAGGCAGATCTCTACACTCGCAGCCCTCGCACAGAGCCATAGAGCCGGCAAAGGATCTGCCGAGCATCCCACCCCCAGAGAAGCCCGCGAAGAGTCCCGACGAAAACCCCTGCAGTGCCATCAGAGAAGAGAGCCGCGCCGAGTGGCGCAAGCCTGTGGAGAGATCCCTGGACCGTTTTTCAAAGACCCGGCATCCTTGGAGTACACAGTACGCACTTCCAGAGAAGACCGTAAGAGTCCTGCCAGGTATTGGAGTCCTCAGGATTTCCGCGGAGAGCAAAGTATCCGTAAGTACTTAGTTCCTGTCCTCAAAAGCGGCGGGATGGCTCCCATATCAGGTAGCTGTAGGGTGGGGATGATTGAAGCAAACAATTCATTCATGTCGTACCCTAAACCCAAAACCCCAAACCCTAAACCGCGTTCTTTGTTTCTTTCCGCAGCTGTTCCTTTACGTCTTTCCGTAAGTAGTTCTGAGTCTGTAATTCGCTCTGCAGTTCGGTCCGTCTTTGTCATTCTGCATGTGTTATGTGTTCTTTATTTCTGCATTTCTTGTTTTTTTCTGCATGTCTTGTTTTCTTCTGCAACTCCTGCTTTCTTTCGGTTGAGAGTAAAAACTTTGTCGCAGGACTTAGACTAAGCAAGCCCTCTACGTAGTGCGCACCTGCTTGTTCTCAACAGAGGTCTACAGAAATGGCACACTTTCTGCCTGTCGCGAGGCAAGGTCGCCCTCCGGGCAGTTTTGCCCGTCCCTGTTTCGAGGTTGTCGCTTTTCATTCGGTTGGGCCACTCAGATGCTGTACTTTCTTTCTTCATTTCTTTCAGCCAGGGCGCTAGTTGCCCAGGGGTGCTGTTTCGAGAGGGAGAGGGGGATGGAGTTTCCTTGATAGACTCACTTGTCTTTGAGTTGCAGTCAACAGTGGGGCTAAGTGCACTGGAAGGAAGGAAGGAAGGAAGGAAGAGGGAGAGAGAGAAAGCCAGGGGGGTTGCCCCCACGCCACAAACTGCTAGGGGCTTAGCTCGGTCAACTTGCAAACAGTATCAAAAGGGTTTCAAAACTAAGGCCCCGAATACAGGGGGTGCGCACCGCACGAAACATCGAACCTTTTCGGAATGGGGTACCATTGCTGGCCTCTCCAGCTCTGCTTTGCTGGCAGATAGCAGCCACATGTAGACTGCCATCTGCGAAGTTTTGCACGGCAGGGTGCAGCCGCGCATTCAAGCAAATCCAAACCGCATGATGAAAACAAACGACCTGCGCCCGAGGCCATCCACCACTCCGTTCCGGAGGGAATGCTCGGACCTCAGCGAGTTGTGCCGAGAGTTCCAGCAAACTTGATCCTGGCTGTCTGGCCAGCCTTGTTCTCTTTGGCATCCTGCAAAGATGCCTTGCAGCGCGCGATGGACTTTTGGCATTGCCGAGTTGGATTCGTTTCCAATGCAAGCACACAAAAGCAACATTTCCGTGTTGGAGCCTTGCACAATCTTGCACACTGTAGGATGCATGTAGGATCATTTACCCTGCTAAAAGCCCACTGGGGCTTTGACGTGAACATTGTCTGGGCGTCACTTTTTTGCAGGACAACCAAAACTGGGCGTGCCCCGTTTCACATGTGCAAGCTGCACGTGGGCGCACCAGCTTGGCTCACACAGAGAACGAAGAAAGAACCAGTCTAAACATATCTCGGCCTTGAAGAGGTTACCAGCCAAATGCACACCCGTCCTTCTTTGTGCTTCCACAAGTAGCTACCCTGATTAGTGGGTATTCTTGCTTAACCGACATGTAACCAACTGTCAAACATATGGAAGACGTATTCAATACATGCAACCATCGGCAGACCTACAGGAGACCACCGACGGACACCTTCCAACTCTGTAACTCTGTGACCTTGCGAACTCCTCGATTCTGCCACCCTAAACCTGCTCAACCTCCCCACCACAATCCTTGACCCGAGGCAACAGCGATGGGCTTAGGGCTTAGATGGGCTTAGTGTACTCGCAGTCAAGAGGATCTTCAAAGGCAAGTCCTGCAACCTACGACATACAAGTGAAGTGCGTTCGGTGGCTTTGGTGTGGGGTTCGCAGTTGATGCATGTTTAGGTCTAGGGTGGTTTATGACTGAGGGCTTAGGTTTCAAGGTTTCGGGTCTAAGAGTCTAAGGTTTGGGTGCCTGGTGGTGTTTGGATCTCGGGTGGGGCTTCCAATATCTAAATTTCCAACCTACAGAGCATGGGCACTGTGGGCGAATTCCTGGAGTTGACAGCAAGGGCCCCGGGAAGTCATCTCGAAAGCAAGAGGTCTTGCGCAATTTGTTCTCTTGAGAGCCCCGCATGGTCTCTTCTTACACTAAGAAATTGAGGGGGTGGAGTTCTGATTTGAGCGGAAGGGGGACGGGGGACCTGCTCTGTAGCGCAGGCTGGTTATTGACCCCAGAATCTCCATGACAGCTACATCCCTTCTCGCTGCAAATCAAATAAACAAAGTGAGGAGCTGGATTTCCGGAACTAGAAGTTGCGGTGCGGGAGCTCCGAACTTTTAAGAAATTGAAGGGCTCGATTTCGTTAACTACGTCTCGAGAAATTTTAAAACTTATGGGCTGGATTTCTCAAATTTAAGAAGTTGATGGGTTCGATTGCTTCAGCCGATGAACTTACTTCAGGGCAGCATCTTTTATTCGAGGCACCCGCTCCTCAGCTTCAGAAGTTTGCGCTTCATAACCAAGGAACCGTACCCGGGTCCCTCGAAGATTGGACATCCCGGAAATCCAGCGACCCAACGCTATGACTCCGCCCAGGAAAAAGATTTTGCAATTGCGAGAGCAGGTATGACAGTCGCGTGCGCGCGCGAGAGAGATGAGAGAAACAAGGTTGCACTGTTGCACGACCACCCTTCTTGCTGTGTGTTGCACCAAAAAGGCCCCCACGTACTCCAAGTTCGGGGTGCGGGTGCATGCGAAGCTCTGCAAGGACGGGTGGCTAGCCAGGCCAACTCCCAGCTGTTGCAGCATCTGACAAGACACTTGGGAAACTGCAAGCATCCAGTTCTACCATGTTCTACCCACCCGAACAAACTCTTCCACAGCAACCTGCTGACGCTCCGGAGTATCGTGGCAGTGTCCCAGGGGCAGCCTCAGAACATGTCAGGGCCACTGCAAAGGCAACCTGCTAAGACTCCAAAGCACCGGCACCCCTCCCAAGTGGCACACGCCACTTGGACAAGCGTGTGATTTTCGATCACTGCCCGCGCAAGCAGTGATGACCCCTGTCTGGCATGCGTGATAAACTTGGTTGCGTCTCCAATGCTGTTGCGCCTCCAGCGTGACCGGAAGGCCCACGCCTGCAACTGAATGAAAAGTAGCATCCGTTCAGACACAAGATTCGTCTTAGCAGCGTGCAGTTGAGCTTGGTCAACCTCGTCGTCTCCTGCCCCAGGCGAAGTGGCAGGTCGGCTTGCTCAGCGCTTTCTCATCAAAAAGTTGCGTTTGCGCCACTTTACGCGTCATGCCGATCGACCATGCTAACTTGATTAAGACGCGCTGTTTGTCTTGCTTCATCTGTCCTTGATGTGGCGGGTCAACTTTCGAATGCCGTCACGCGACATGAAATTCCAAGAGATGTTCAGCTCAGTGACCTTTACCGCAGTCTGATGTCTGTCGCATCCGTCAATGACTGCTAACAACGATAAGCTGAGCTAATCACACAATCGTAGCGACGCAGCCACTCCTGCGCAGAACATCTCACAACGTCGGTGAAGCTTCCGCGGCAGCAACATCTTTCCAGACCTGGCCTCTAGGAAAACAAAGTCATCGTCATCCATGCCTCGCTTCGACAAGTCCACTGTGGTCCTCAGAAAGTCATGAAGGGACAATATGGGATAGTCAGAGGCTCGACAGATCAACGGGTTGTCGCAGAGCTGTGAACATTTGGCAGAACCCCAGTGCCGCCCAGAGCACAACTGGCCGGTCTTGAAGTGAGAAAAGTTGATCCCGGGCCTTTTGTTGCACGATGTGATGACTGCTCCCTGCTCATTGTCCATCCACGACCATGTTCTGCGAAGAATGAGTGGCTGGCTTCATTTTGGTGGGGCCCATTGTATTTACCTGCTGAGTTTTCGTTGCGGACAAAGCTTACGCAGAAACAACATGACACAACACTGACCACGCGAAAGTCGGATGCCAGGCCAAACAGCATAGACTTGTTGGAGCAACTCGCACTTGTCCAGTGACACAAAGCAGATAGCTGTGATGTCCCATAGAGCTGCAAACGATCTCGCATTGCAACTCGCCAGGGTGGCAGTTTGTAGAAGGGTCTGTGCGTTGCCAAGCAAGCTCTGGGCCAGAGCCTGCACATGCCAATCGTTCGGAAAAAGTGCGCCAGACCCACTGGACTGCTGGCCGAGACAACCCTCATCCTTGGCCTTGGCACCATCCTTCTCGACATGATTCAACCTGAGCAGCTCGCAAAGTCCTTGTGATGGAAACATGCGGCTCTCGAAATGCTCGAAATTAGGGATCTCTCAAGAGCCAGCCTGAAGTTGAAGCTGATGAGCGATGTGTTCAGGCGCAGGAAATGTGCTAAAAATATTGCACCGACAACTTCGATGCCATACCTGGTAAACGGAACTGAGCGCGGCATTCGCTCGGAGAATGCTATCACGAAAGAAGCCGGTGGGACATCCCTCGGTTCGCAAACTCGATGGCCGCTTCTTTTGAGTCTTCTGTCCATGGCCTCGCATCCAAAGCTTCGCGGATGTTCGTAGCGAAAGGCGTATGCTTGGGACAGGATCTGAGCATGTGTGACATCGCTAGAATGTCAGCTCAACTTACCAAGCGACTCGAAGTTGAAAACAAGATTGCTAACAGCTTGCTCGGCTTGCTGCATTCCCACATGGCTTGCACGTGGTGACCTGAAGCACTTTAGCAACTTCAGCGACGATGCTGCATGTTGCACCACTTGTCATTGTCATTGCAAAACCATCCAGATCCAACAGATCCAAGGTTCGATGTTGGCTGGGCTTGACAGAAATTGACAGAATCTAGGCAAAAGAACTTCAAGAAGCTCAGAGCGGTGCAGATCCAAGACCTGGATAGAATTCATGCGCAGTGCCCGCAGGGGAATCCCATTGCCTCGGTTCTCGCATGACAGAGGCTACAAACAAAGCGTCTGCACCCGAGACCCTCGGTAGAGGCAGAGGCAGAATTCGAGATTCAGATATTTCTTTTTCATGGCCTCTACGCGGCAAGGGCGAGCAGGATCCAACACGGTCACTGTCCAAACATGAGAATACAGGCCGCAGAACCTGTCATTCCCTGATCGGCCTTGATGAGCTTCCAGCCAAACGCCGCGTTCAGCCGGTTTCCCCGTAAGTCAAGGTGAGTGATATTCTCGACCTTTGCATTTACAAGAGCGCTCTATGCTTCTGAATCGCATGTCCGTGTGCGTGCATTGGAGTCCGTCAGCTGAGCTAGTGTGCTTTGCTCAGAACTTAGATCTAAGATGCGAGCCGACAAAACAAGGGATTCAATCGCGTGCTCACCTGATCCCCCATGTTTCCCCAAGGCATCAGTCGTCACTCTTCAAGACCTTTCAAACAACTATCAACCAACCTCGAGTTACCCGCCAAGGCAAGTCTTGGGGTGCGGAAGCATCGCAGCGACAGGAAAAGCCAACTCGCATAGCCGTGCAGTGAACCAAGCCAAAAAGTCGCAAGAAAAGTGCAACAGCACACGCATTGTCAAGCAGCAACGACTGAAGATGGCTGAAGATAGTATTTTGCTTTGCTGGCGCTTGGCCGCGGCCACTGCACTTAAGCATCACCAAGCGCACTGAAGTTCCACCATCTTGTGCAGCCCAGATACTCAGTCCCATGCCTGGCTATCAAAACAAGCGCACCACTGCAACTTGTGTAGCCTTCGGTGGGCTCAGCTCCCATCCTTCTCGACCCGGTCCTGGCTTGTGATTGCCTGAGAGGATGTGTCTCCGAGGATTCAGAACAGCTGTGCTGTAAAAGACGTCGTCACAGTCCAACCTCTCAGGTCGATTTTCTCAAACTGCATTGGCCTTGGCATGGACACGTGACCAGTGGCCATCGCGAAAACTCCCATCCAAAATTGCTCTGAGGTCCGAGCGTGAAACCAAAGGACAGATTCAGTCCTGTAGACCTGCTGGGACGGACTCGCTGCTCCATTGGTCCATGTTCGGCACCCATGCAAACATGAAAGGCCGAAGGGAGTGGATTCCGCAACTCAGCTTCCGGCATCTCGGCTGGGTGTGAGGCAGCAGTCGATGCGCCTCTGTTTGCCACGATTATCCGTTTATCCATGGTCCATGTTTCTATGTGCAGGCAAGCCGAAGCCTCGATAGGAGGACTTGTCTGACATAAAGCCTTATACTTGCAACTTTCTTTCAACTTCTCACTGTGGCAACAATAAATCACCGAAACAGCGGCTGAGGATCTCGCCTGAGTCTTGAAACTCGTTCCTGCCCCTGTGACACTAAAACCGACTCCCTAAACACAATGGTGTGTCTGAGATAAGTCTCTGCGCAAGGAGCAGGGCAGTAGTGTTGGGATGAGGCCGAGCATGCACGTCCATTCCTCGCCTCCGTCGTTGGGATGGCCTGACTGACACAAACTGTATAGAAACAAAACGTGCCGCCATTGCTCAGCAGAAGTCAGGATGTTCAAGGCAAGTACACGAAATCGGCATCGTCCTGCAGAAAACCAACATCGTGAACAGTGCACATGCTTTGGATCACCACCCGATTGCAAGCCCCTGACAGTCTCTGTCCTCTACTTGATCCATGGCAAACGTAAGTTCTTGCCGTGCTCTGCTTCTGAACTAGTTGCTTCTAGCAGATTCTAGCAATTGCACAAAAGAGAGGGCTCAGAATCTGCTGTGGTTGCTGTGCATCCGATTGCCCTCGTCCTGGTCGGAAACCATACCGGGAACTTAGTGTTGCGGCCCTTTGGCATGTCAGTAGGACAGTGTAGGCTGAATTAAACAACCAAACAGCTGGCAACTCAGAGTCCCACAGGGCCGTCTTCTCCACTTAAGCTTTCACATGTCATTTTGCTTGGGCCTGCACATCTTCACTTGAGCCTTTGTTCTGGGGCTTCGTACTTCTTGCTCAAGGGCCAGCCAATGACTGTACATGCTTAGCCTAAATCGTGGCCGCAAACCCTAAACCCAAACCCTTTAACCCGAAGCCCTCAACCTTGAATGACCCACAACCCTACCCCGAAACGAAACACTTAAGCCTAAACCCCTAAGCCTAAACCCTATGGCCAATCCGCAGAACACTAGGTCATTCGGTCTTAAACTTAAACCCAAACCCTAGCCCCGGTCCTAAACCCTGAAGTCTATACCCCAAACCCCTTAACCCTTAACTTCAACCCTTCCCCACGAATACAGCCCTATCATTCTCTGGCAAACTGACGTTAGTAAACAAGTCATGACAGTGATAAAGCCTAAACCCGAAATCTTTAAACCCGAAAACCATAAAAAGGAATGGGCGGTAGAAGAGCGCAAGCAATAAACCCTATAAAGGACATGAAGTGAGGAACGCTGGCCGTCCCTGTCCCACAGTCCCACCGCGCATGGACTTGAGGTTGTTGGGGAGGAGGTTCGGCGGTCGCGTTTGAGGTCAAATCCTAAGGTGGTTGAAAGTTACCAAAAGAGTCTAATCTTACCACATCTTGGTGACAGCATACGGCATTACCAGGGTACAATGCCGCAAGGCAAGGAGGTGTTTTGCTTCATTCCACCTCCAAACGCGTGGTCAGAAACAGGGTTCAACCAAGATCTGCAGAGCGACTTTGGCTCACAGCACTCACACTGGCAGAATGTGTAGAATTCCGCCGACCACCAGAAAGCCGCCACACACCTCAAGACATCTCAAGACAGCTGCCATTTAAAGACCCAACAGGCGAATTGATTAACGTTCTCGAGCGCTTTTGACATGATAGACTGGACAACCGCTAGGTACTCCAGAGCTCGGTAGCGTTCTACGAGCTTCACGTGGTCTACTTCAACTTGCCTCACATGCATCTCTCCATCCTACTGAGCCGTGAAACATGGTCTGGCCACTTGAAACTTGTTTGCCATAGGTTTATACTGGCTAGCAGCTTGAGCCCACGATGCGGGTATGAGCCTGCAAAACTGTTGTTCAGAACGAAGGCCTTCTAGCCAATCTCACGTTTGAGTCTTGTCAGCTATGACGTGTGTGTTTGCACATGTTTGCACTCACACAAGGTGGCTCCTACTTTTAAAGGGGCTTCTGCAGGTGTAATAGGCAGTCGCAAGCTGCTTCTCTCTTTCTGCCCCTAATCACATGCAGCTCTGGCACCAAGTACACGAAGATGATACTTGCCAACAACATCGGACGCCATCCCATCTGCTTGATAGCAGCTACATCACTCTCCAAGCCAAGTCCGACCTGAGAAAACAAAACGTGACGGAAAGCTGTCGGAAATGGCAGGAGAGCGAGGTCACAACAGACAGTGGGAGGGAGAGAGGTGGAGAGGTGGGGAGAGTGAAAGAGATGCGGCGAGCATTTCCATGCAATCAAGACTTCTTTCCTTCCAGCTGCCATGGCCAGGGCAGTACACCAGGAACCCACTTTGGTTGCAGCAGCAGCAAGCCCAGCTGGGAAGGGTATGTAAGAAGACATCACCTGAGGCGTGATCAGTGAGCTTGCAAACGGCACACCTCATGAAATCTTGGTAGTCTTGGTGCAGTGTTGCCGTAGGTTCGAATATTCTTCCAGAGCACGCAAACGCCAAAGAAGGCAAACGCGAACCACGGTGTCTGAATGCTGGTCGAACCACCTTTTGCCAGCCTGAGGTCGTCGCTTGAAGCGATTAAGCGCACAAAGACTACTACAGCAGTCAGTGTCACTAGCCACAGATTCTGCATCCAGCCAGAATCCAGCCTGCTGACGATGAAAAGGTAAGGAGCCAGGAGCAGAACCCTAACCTGATCTGATGACGAAACCAAAGGATCATTCATGTCCGAGCATGGCACCCTCACAGACACTTGGCTGGAGACCAATTTCGTCAGCAAGGCCGCCGAGGCCACGCTGGGTGACATCGCATTG